ACCGCTGCTTTGTTTGCTGGTCGTATTTAGGTACCGACAAGGCTTATTTTGCTGCCACTGATCGCAGCTGATCAGCGATCAGAGGCCGCTGGCTGACCTGAAAGTAACAAAGCGCGCTGTGGTAATCATTGGCTCACTCGCATTGCTCCAGGCGGGCCATTAAAATCTCCTCACGAGATACCTGGTCAAACACAATCGGCACGCGAATTACAGACGGGTTGTTGGGACCGTAGTCATTTCATTATCATTATGAGTAACTCGAGCGGCTGAAGTGCACGAGCGTGCACACGTGCAACTCAATGCGGTGATGGGAATGTGAGTGCGCTCCCAGGGTGAATCATTGCACTGAAACCCGGTCTAGGGTCCGGTGACTGGCAGAAGACACTGTGCTGCTCTTGGTCACGCTCAGAGCGTTATCCACGTGGTTGTGTGAAGCACAGTATGATCCAATTCCAGTCAGACGACATTGTAATGCCATGATTGTCACTAACATAGCCAGGCTTGCATAATTATCGACATCGCTCAGTGGGATCCGATGCAGCCCGTCAGACGCGGCTTAATTAGCTATCCTACGTATAGCTTTAGCATCGCACCTAATAGGCTGGGTAGGGTAGCTAAGCCAGTTCTGGAGTCGGCATTAAACGCGGCGCGGAGGTTAAACAGAACAGAGTGCAGCAGGTGTGCACTGTGCACTGCATTGAGCAGTGTGCAGTGTGCACTCGGCCAGCCGGGCTCATCACGTATACCGCGACCGCCGCCCGCCCGACGCGATGGTGCCTTGTTGACAACTCAGCTGGGGAGGGGATGGGAGGAAGAGTGGGTCTGCTTGTCGGTCTTCTTACAATGGCAGGAATGGAGGTGGGAACTACATGCATCTCATTGATCGGCGAGCGGGAACCAGCGAATGAATGAAACCGGTTTTAGATTCGTGCAGGACGTAAATGGGTTGTTACATTTTTGTGGTGGTCGTTCGCTCCTATTCTTCCTCGTAGCACCTGCAAATAAAGCTAATGGAATACTGTTTTCCAATTTACCTCCATTTTTTAGCGAATGCATTGATTCTTTGGCATGGGAGCGTCTATCTCGCATATCATCTCGCCGAATACTCTCCCTTCCACCTTGCGAAAATCATTAGCGGCATCTCACTCTCTACTCTCTGACCCGCTGGGTAGAGGGCGGTAATTTTACAGTTTTCTCGACACCAATCCATCAGCACCCCCCACCATCGATACGTCTCCGATAGCCACCGACTCTCTCTGTGAGAGAGACAGTGCCGACAGTGCTCTCCAGTCTCCACCACTATGGCACCCAGCACCCGGCAGCGGTGGTGGGAAGTCGAGCCGGCGCGGTCCGACCCCGTGACCTCAGTCACCTCAGCCGCCGCCTTCCCGCTCAGTGACGGCCGTTTCTCCCGGCGCCGCAGTCTTCCGGTTGACGTTCAGAAACACGCCACCGAAAGTGGGCCCTCCATCCGGTGCAGTGCTAGAGGTAGCGGTGGGGTGGAGCGACAGTTATCTCTTTGTAGAATGAGACAACCCGGCCTAACTACCGAGGCACCGGGGACGTCTCTGTGGCCTCTGTCGCCTACAGCCGCGGCTGAGACAACGAACAACACCGCCGGCGACCCACACTGATCAGATGTATCGATAAGATATTCCTTTTTGACGCCGACCTCGCCGCTGGCGTCAGTGAAAGCCGCGGCGGCGGCGGCGGAGCGACCGCATGCCGCCCGCGCGCGCTGCCGGCTTCCCTCAGCACGGCATCGGCTCCAAACGCCGCCTCCGTTATTGCGTTCATCCTGGGGTGGCGGCGGAAAAGAAATTGCTCGTGACACCCGCCGTGCGTAAGGTCACCTCAAAGGCGAGAGTCCATGCCACTCGGTACCCTGGATAGCCACAGGGCAGGTGACCTCTGCACCGGAAACGAGACGAGCACAGGTCTGTCGATATTACCGGACGGAAGCCGGGTGTAATATACGTGTTTTAATGGCTAACGAGTGTAGGAAATCAGATTTGATTGAAGTTAAACATGGAGATCATATTTGATGTTCGCGGTTGTAATTGATAGTTGAATCAGACAGGAAACAAGGTCGTATGCTTGTGTGTTTGGTCAATAAGATTAGCTTGGGAATATTTACCAACAATAGAAAACATTAGTTCTCAGCCATTTTGTACCTACTTAAGTCATAATTAGACGTATTAGGAACATCATACCTGTACGAATTCGCCAATTTGCGTAGATACTGTAAGCTTGGTCGTGCATATCGAGTACAACGTCTTTTTTCTGTAATCACACCCCCCGCCGGTTAAATTGATCTTGGGCGCTGACATGTTCACAACATACGCAGAAAATATGTGACAGGACATACCAAGAATACCAGCACTGTTCACATTTTAGCGAAAGATCACTGGCCATTTAGACATTAGGTATTTGTGCAGAAAATGATTCTGTATTTCCTCGAAACTTAATTGCCTTCACCATGGCATATATGCCCGCCATTTCACATGAACCATGAAACTACATCCTAATAATGCTTACTTTGCGAAGTTTAAATCTAGATGAAATATCATCTTCTTGTCAGTGATTGGCATTCCAATCGACATCCCGCAAGCCAGTTTCTTGGGCGCCCACAAGACAAATACGCTTGTTGTTCTCCCGTCCTACGACGGTTGAAACAAACGATCACATTTGTCAGAACCAGGATCCAAAGTAAGATTGTTTTGAGTTGGAGCCTGTTCTTTCCAGATGAAGTACTTACATTGGTCTACTGGGGAGTCATTAGCATAAATTCATCGTTAAATAACACGAGCCCAGCAAATTGCAATCATTGGTTGGTGAATGCCTATGTGAACGGTTCCACAAATTAGCCGCACTTAGCCTCGTGGTCCTCTCTCTCTCTCTCCCCCCCCTCTCTCTCTCTCTCTCCCTCTCTCGCTCTTTCTCTCTCTTCTCTCGGCGTAACTCAATCAGCGTTATCCACACGTCACAGATCCCAAGGATATAATCGATTGCTGACATTGCACACAGACACTCACTGCAACTTTCCCAGGCACGGTATGTTTTACTACACCCCCCGTTGTGTCAGTGAAGGTGTGTGTTGCTGGGAGTCAGCGAAGCATGGCGGTCTCCGCTGGACAGCCCGTCACAAGTGACCGACTTCACCCGTGGTAGCCGGACGGTGTAGATTCACACGGCCCGTCATATTGGCGTCACACTCGGCTGACGCGGTGAAGACATGAGCCGTCCGCCCGCGCTGTTGCAATAGACACTCCGCTGGACACTCGACTGGACACTCGACTGGACACGCTACTGGACACTCCGCTGGACACTCGAGTCGGACTTTCAACTGATGCTAGATTGCTACACAGTTGATGAAGATTGGATTTAATAAGCATGATACTTCCGCCTGATGGAACAGGAAAAGTTTTAATTTAGATGGGCCAACTTATCTATCTACAGACTACAGCATTCTGCTTTCGCTACTGACGAAAGTGATGCTTACATGATAGCTCGTCCCTTATTCCATGCATTACAATTACTTTCCTCAATTAATCTTCCTAAAATTTTCTTCTTAATCTCCCATTTAGCAGGCTCCCTTCTGTTCATCATGCTTCACCTTAAACTCTGCCATGTCGCCCGGTGTTGCTCGCACTCCCGACCGATCCTCTGGTGAGTACCTCCGCCGGACGGTGACCGTGGCACGGCGTGGCAGTCGCCCACCGCTCCTCTGAGATCTGTCGGACACACCTCTCGGTGGAGGTGGCACTCGTCCGCCGCCCTGCCCTCAAGGACGGAGCTCGGCGGCGGTCCGTTGCCGCCCTCTGACCCCCGTGGAGCGGACACCTGATCGGTGATCACCTATACCAGAGCCGAGCTGAAACAAACAATGCTCGGCGTCCCACTATTTCTTTTCCTGGGTGCATGCCGGCTACTGTTGAGCGGGAAGCTGCCACAGCTGTGTCCACGTCTACCCCAGTCCACAATGCAGCTGCGCCTCTACGCTCCTTTCCAATCACAGCTGTGTAGGCATAGGTACTGTATGCATACCTATACAGCAGTGTGTCTACGCGTGGCCACGCATTGTGCACAGGGCTTCGTCTATCTACTGCACTTACGCATAATGCATATGCTATGGGGGCTTAGGCCAGCTCATTTCTATTGCACAGAATCAAGCCAACAAGACTGACAAATTTCATGGCTGCCTTTAATACGACTGTCACCGAAAAAGCGTCGACATTCCAGTTTTGTGCTTCACTGCTACTCTCCGCGTCACCTGCTTTGTCAGCTTCCCGATTCTCCTGACGTCTGCTTTTTTTGTGTGGCGGCGTCTGCGCTATGATCCCTCGATACCATGGCTCGTCTGAGACGAAGCGGCCCGCGACCTTCGCCACCGGGAAGCCCTTGGTCGACGCCAGCGCTGCATATTAATCGGCATTGTTGTCTTCAGTTCCGGAGTCGGGCCCACGTGCGGTCATTAGCTTACATCCGAGGCTGGGGTGGTCACTATCGGTGCTTTGTGCTCGTAGTACACTCATGGAACGGTGGACTGACAAAGCTGGTGCCCATAGCGAAACTGGCGTTACAAAGTTATCTATCATGTTATACAATATCTGTAAAACGGATGTTATCGAAACATATTGTAACACCTTTCATTGCTACCCGGAAATTAAACAGTTTTATTTTGGCATAACAGTGGTGTTCTCTTTCTCTCTCTCTCTTTCTCTCTCTCTCTCTCTCTCTCCCTCCCTCCCTCCCTCTCTCTCTCTCCCTCCCTCCCTCCCTCCCTCCCTCCCTCCCTCCCTCCCTCTCTCTCCTCTAAGTCCTTCCTTTTCATCACTACAAACAAGGTTACCATTAGTACGATTGGTGTATAAGCAAGCTGAATGCTGTGCTACTGATATATGCATCACCTGTCTTGTCTGTGTTCCAGTCTCGTGAGATCCACTCTGCTTTTAACCCTGCTGTCTCCTAACTGACGTCTCTCCTTGTTCTTCCCGCAGGATATCTCCCAGTCTCCTTTGAAGCCGGTCAGACGAGCTCGGGACGTCACCATTCGTCGGTTTCTGCTGTCGTCTGTGTACAACGACAGCCATGAGCCATCACCCACGGACCAGCGAGATGCTCATTAACTTCGTCCACCGTTTGAGAGCGCCCTAATCGGTGTCTGGTGTCCCCGTGCCCGTCGTCGCTCGTGCCATTGTTACTGCTCATTCTGTTCTGCGGGTCCAGTACAGACGTCTGATGGTTTACGTCCGATTACGCCTGATGATTTGCCGTGTACCCCGTGCTAGGGTCATATCTGTTGTATCATCAGTCTACAAACTTCCTTGGGCCCGCCTTCTCGTGTCGGGACTATATCACCGACCAGCGAATCACCGGTGATTATCGACAATCGCACGGTCATTAGATCCTCCCTGGTCGTGCCGGCAGTGGTCTGACCTCGCGTGACCCGCAGTGACCCGCAGTGACCCAGTGTGACCTAATGTCGGGACGAGGAGGGAGCTGCGACCCGTCTCCACCACTTTCACTAATCGAAGTCAGCTGGGACGCCGGATGAGAGCAAACTAGCGTGGCCTTAGGCGACGTTAGGCGACCCCTCGCCCCAGCAGGTCAACTCAAAACATTGGAAATGTTCGGCACTCACGTGATCAGGCAAGCGTCGTGGATTCGAAGCGTGGTAACTGGCTGCGCCGGTCATGAGAAGAAGACAATTACAGTCCAAACCAATGAATTGAGTGAGACAACCCATAGGCTAAGGGATGGATCACGTGACCTGTTGCGAAGTTCGCGGGCGAATCCGACTGGTGCTCAGAATGATTGCGTGAGAGGCCGTTGGTTCTTCGGTCCCTGGGGAGTGTCGCGGGCCCAGACAGCCTCATATGGATCCGTACGGTTAGCAAATGTATAATGATTGTGTAACAAGCGTGTGTTGGCCGTTTAATATTGGTGAAAGAATGTGTGATATTAACGTGGCCTGCGCCTCGGAGTGGCCATACGAGCCACGAGAAAGTACGCATGCCATTATTGTGTCCGAGTTATCTCTAATCGTGATGTATATGAGAATCTGTTGTAAGCAGCTGTTATGGAGAATACAGCCTACCACTAACGCGAACGCCGGCTAATCTTCCATAATCCAGAATCACGTAAAACATTAGCAAATTCGTAACTGGTGGGAAGCTGTCGCCTTTATTGCGAATGGGAAACCGTCTTCATAAATCTGTTCAACAGCTCACATTTCAGGCCGCGATGTGTTCAAATGTGAGCGGCCCAGCGAAGTCGTTCGGTAAAACCGTTCAAAGGAAGAGGAAGCAGGGGGCGCCTGGCGGCTGGTCGGTGATTTGTTATTCCGATCACGAGAGGCCGTTCCATTCTGGAGCCGCGCTGATTCAGGCGTCCGCTGCGACCATGATTGGGTGTGATGATAGCCCTCTTCCCAGTCACGTATTTCGGCCAAGGACACAATAAGAACTGTCATGAGTAGTTCCAAATAATGTTATCAGCTATTTTTCTTTAACGGTTAAAGATATATTTTGCTGAAGTTTGAGCTTGGCAAGTCATCTAGGATTTAGGAAAGATTGATTTAAGCATGTTATAATGCCCAAAGGCTTTCCTACTTCTCGTCCATAACACCGGCAAGACGGATTATGAAATTTTAGTTCCAGGCGTAGATAACATGAATATGTTTCAGGTTATGTAAGATGAGAAGGTAGGTATTCAAATTTACAAATCGCGTTTTTACGGAGGTACCTATAGGCAAATATGTTATCCTAGGACATAAAATATAGAGATGCAGCAGCTGTTTAGTGAGACTCGTCTCAGGACTCACGACTCTCGTTTACGAATCGCATCCGGCGGATTCCAACAACGATTTCCATATCGAGAAATGACCGAAGTGCGCATTTGATGGGGCCGAACACGTTTATGCTTGGGAGGACTATGACATGGCGTGATCCTCCGTCGTGGGCGCTCTGGGACGCGGCGTGGTGACGAAAGTGACGCGGTGGGTGCGCCGATCTCGTCACACCGAGCCTCCGTCACGGTGAGGACTCACGCTGTGGACATGGTTATCTTGATGTGGACATGGGGGACACTCGGCTACCGTGGGACTCAGCGGGCGGGCGTGGCGGCCGCACGGGAGCGGCAGCCCGTTACCGTACGCCGTGCTGTACCTACTGCGGTAGGCCGGTGTAGTATGGCACGGCACCTCGACACAGTTGAGGGAGCAGTGAGCACTGACATAGTATCGCGGAGAAAACATCGCGTGGGCTACCGTCCTGAGGTCGTGTAACCGCAGCGTAGACTGACTGAAAACGTTAACAGAAAGGACGGTGGAAAATCATCATGATATGTAGGATTTATTGGACATGTTTTCTCCTCACAGGTGTATTATTCACATTTTCACAAGTCCATTTGCCAGGACAGATGTCCATAATAAAAGGATATCACGATGGCCGATAGGCACTAAGCTCCTGCAAATTCCTCGATGCTCGTTGCGCAGACTTTCCGCTTTGGCCTATCGCAATATTACACTGCATTCCTGTTCCTTGTTTTATGGCTATTCTGATAGACGGTGACAGCATCCAATTGGCAGTAGCCGTCAGCCGAACTCACTCACTAGGAATTTGTGCAACAGCCGTTTCATTTCTCGATTTCGTCCATTTCCTTTATACCGTCATCTCAGGCACACGGAGTTCCGAGTCAAGATGGCAGGGCCGAAGCGATACTGGAGCTTCTTAGGAAATCTGAGGCAACTGACAAATGAATCAAATGTCAAACAATCGAAAGCTTTATATGCGTACCCGGTACCGATGAATTATCTGAAATGCTTCCTTATGCCATCCAATCTGATATTGGTGCTCAAAACGTAACACTTTCTGCTTATCACGATGTCATTCAGTTGGATTTATACCTACACTCCGTTTTGATTTCGCGACCCAGAACAATAGGTAGTATTGGACACAGAGCTCGATATGAACAAGGGCGGATCTAGGGGGTCGTTTTGGGGGGGGTCACCAGTCGGCCGACATACCAGGTCTGGTGAATGAATTCTGACGACCGGGGGGGGGGGGGGGGGTAGGGAGCGAGTATGTCGAGATCAAAAAATGACATTTGATCTTCGTCGTTTATAAGATGAAGTTTTATCGTAAGTCACTCGGCTCAGTAGTTTTAGTTAGTGAAACCCACCTATATAGGAGCGTCGCCACGGATTTTTTACTGGGGGGGGGGGAGGCGGGTCGACCGACTTAAAAACCCAGAAGTAGATATAGTTACCTCACTTTTAGCCTAATGCATTAGTAAATAGTAGCATACAGTCACGATCTCTCTTATTGACCTGTGTATGAATCGGCGGCGCGAAGCGCCGCAAAAATTTGCAAAAAAAAGTTGTCAAAACACAGCTCTAAAACACAAATATTACAACCTTTTTAGCATGCTAGTACAAGCCGGAGTTCCTTCACAGTACACATATGAATTCCGATTCAATTTGACACGGTTGGTGTTATTACAGTCACTGTTATTTCTCTCTTATTGATTGGTGTATAAATCGGCGGCGCGAAGCGCCGAGAAAATTTGCAAAAGAATGTGTCGAAACACAGCTCCAAAACACAAATTTTACCACCCTTTCAGCATTGCAGTACAAGCCGGAGTTCCTTTACAGCACACATATGAATTCTGATTCAATTTGACACGGTTGGTTTATGTAATTACAGTCAAGATTTCGTATTGACCTGTACGTATGTACATAAATCGGCGGCGCGAAGCGCCGCGAAAAATTTGCAAAAACATTTGTCAAAACACAGAGGGGGCCTCCTCTCTACAGAGGACCACCGATCTCTACTGCGGGCCTCCTCTTTTCACAGGGCCTCTTAACTACAGAAGCTACAGGGCCTCCTCTCTACAGAGGGCTTCCTCTCTACTGAGGGTCTCTCCCTTTAAGAGGGCCTCCTTTACAGAGGGCCTCCTCTCTTCAAAGAGCCAGAGGACCTCATCTCTGCAAAGGGCCTCCTCTCTTCAGAGGGCCTCTTCTCTACAGAGGGCCTCCTTTCTTCAGAGGGCCTCTTCTCTACAGCGGGTCTCCACTCTTCAGAGGGCCTTCTGCATTCAGGCGGTCTCCTTTCCACAGAGGGCCTCCTCTCTACACAGGGCCTCCTCTCTACATAGAGCCTTCTCTCTACAGCAGGTCTCCTCTCTACAGAGGGCCTCCTCTTTAAAGGGGTCTCCTCTCTACAGGGGGCCTCCTCTCTACTGAGGGCCTCTTTTCTACAGAGGACCTCCTCTACAGAGGGCCTCCTACCTACTGAGGAGTCAGAGGGGCCCTAGCGGTCAGACACAGACACTAGCGGTTATTCACTGGAGGCCCCAGGAAGTAAGAAGGGCCCTAGCTGTCAGGCTGGTCAGAGGGCCCTGAATGTCCTGACGTGATTTTTGGGATTCCCGTGAATTTCTTTCGCCTCAGACGTGATTTTGACCTGCCAGGGCCCAGGGGCACTAAAAATAAAACAAACAAAATAAAAAATGAAAATAGGACATCACCAAAATTAAGTGACCGAAATCCGTTGAGTTTTTAATTTTGCGTATAGGTAGGGGCACCACGAATTAAATTCATGACCATCCCCTTGGAGTTTTCCTGGATCATCCCCTGGTGCTCGCACGGTTGAGACAAAAACGAGTAAGATTCTGGTCTTCAATACGCCTTTTCACGCAACACGATCCAGAAAAACAAAGGTATTAGCTCAGAAGTGTTTGACAGGTGATTTTGAGCATGCAAGACGGCGTCTATAGCGCATTTAGGTCTTCGGCTTTTGGGGGGGGTCAAATGACCCTCTCAGACCTTTTGGGGGGGGTCATGACCCCGTGGACCCCCCCCAGGATCCGCCAGTGGATATGAATGGCTGCCCGAGACCAGAGTGGATACCTATGTTGGGCAGGGCACATACTTTGTACTGCGATACAATTGCTTGAACGAGCATACGAGCATACATACAATTCATCCGATAATAGATCTTACTCTGATGCGTATTGTTTTTTTTTTACCTTATACCTGATTTCTTTCCTTGAAGGAAGCTTAAGTCTGATCCATATAGGTAGGCATATAGAGAAAAATCTGTCAAAGCAGACCCTGTATGTGCCCTGGCTGTGTTCGTTTGATAAGATCGGATCTCCCACCCTGCACCCCTCCCTGTCCCGCCGCGCCGATCCGATGTCCCGGCGTGGTCTGTTGCACGGCGCCGGCGGCGGTGCCTGCCCGCCCGGTCGGTCTGTCATCCACCCACTGACCGCCTCCGCAGCGCTGCCGTGACCTCTGCAGCCGCCAAGGTCACGGACGAGCGGCGCACACCGACGCGCCGGGTGGGGACGGATGTGCAGACGGGGACCGGATGAGGGGATGTGGCCTGGGGACGTAACGTGAGATGGAATCGTTGACACTGAACGTTTGGATGAAGGGATGAAGGGATGCGTGGAAAGGGTAAGGCTAATAGAGACGGACCGTGGTATGTACTTGGTAGGGATGGCGAGCTGCAGGGGATCGCATAACTCATATACCTACCTACCTAACGGACTTTTGTCAAAAGTGGCATAGTCATCGGCTTCTTTCTCCGAGCATTCAGGATTTGTAGCGAAGAAGTCCTCGACGAAGAGGTCATCCATATACATATACGAAACGTTTACAAGACTTCATTATCCAAAAGGTTACTTAATTCGGCTCCAAAACAAGGCGAAGGAAATAAGGAGGAAGAGTGTAGAAGAAAATTTATAGTCACCGTGGAAGAAAAGAAGAAACAAAAACAAGAACAAAAGAAGCGAGGACGATTCATAACGATTCCATCTCGAAACAAGCGAACGAAATAGCGACTAGTCTACGATCAGCTGGAACCAATGTAGCCATCGTTTTAGGATAACAAATTCAAGATTTAGTGCGACCGAAGAAGGTGAACACATCAGACAACAGTGCATAGGCGCGGGAGCCGGGGGGGGGGGGCAGTGGGGGGCAGCTTGCCCCCCCCCCCAACTCTAGGGCCGTGGGGGCGGTGCCCCCACAACTTTGAGACGAAATACTGCACTTTTTTTGCAAATGTTTTTCTTTTTTGTTGAAAAAGCCAAGGGATGAAAAATAAGTGGCCTAAAACCGGTGAGAAAACTAGATTTGGGGGTACCCTAGGTTCATCTCCATTATAGTGTGCCCCCCCAGTCTGAAAGTAGTTCCCGCGCCTATGCAACAGTGTTATATATGAGATAGGTACCTTGTTCTGGACTATGTTCAAAATCATATGTCGGTGAAACGGGGAGGGGTTTAAAAACACGACTTCAAAGTCTTCAAGAGCACAAACGTGATGTTCGAAATCATAAGGTACTCGTATTCAATGCGATGGTGCTTCATGTAGAAAAGTGTCATCTTCCAGCTTGGGATTCAGCTACAGTGATGGAAAAGGGCATGCCAAAACCGATTAGGAGAGCCATGGAAGCTGCATATATTTTACTTGAAGACACTGTGTCACTGTGTAACATAAAACCAGGCTTCTTGCAGCTGTAGAAGCCCGGTCCGTATTGATACCGACCGGCGAGGCGGCCCGCATTGATACTGACCGGCCCGTATCAATACGGGCCGGCCCTCCGGTCAGTATTGATACGGGCCGGGCAGTATCAGGGGGATGTCACTACTTTGCTTCGCCATAGGTCCAGTACTGATTTCGTCGGTTTCGATCCCGGTGACGTCAGTGCTGTCTACATCCGGGAACTTATCGCACTTGGTTCTCATTAGAGGTGGCCATATTGTTTTGTCTCGTGACGACACATTTGCGTCATCGGGATCAAAACTGGCTGTAAACAAATCGCTCAGTGTCGCTACCTACTATATATGGCCTTGGGCAGTATCAATACGGGCCGCGTTTTCAAACGGACCGTAACACATATCTACTGTGGTTGTTTGAGAAGCAATGTAAAATAAATAAAAAATGTCTGTCATAGTTGGCACCATGGGTGTAGTTTTCCAAAAATCATTGGGGGTGCTCAATAGCTTTCAGAAAGCCATGCCATAGTTTTTGTAGTTTTTTTTTAGCTGTTCTTTTTTACTGTAGCCATCAGGCATCATGCAAGAAATGATGTTAAATCGGTTCGAGAGCTTGTTTTAATAGCGCCACTGTAAAACAATTTTGGCTCACCCAATGCATTAACCCGCGCGGGGCTGGGGTCTCAAGCCGAACGCGCGGGGCTGGGGTCTCCAGCCGAACGCGCGGGGCTGGGGGGAGGTAAATTTTACCCCCCTGTTATCTCCCGAACTAATGGTCCGATTTGGAAAATTCAAACGCCAATCGCAAGATCTCATCACGAATAACTAAAAACATGTACTTAAAGGTAGTGTGCCAGCTTTCCTGGACCGTATGGAGTTAATGGCCCAGATAAGGAGAACCGGATTTTTAGAACTTATCCATACCTTCAAAACTCATGGAAACGTCTTAAATTCTTCAAATTTTGAGTACCCCAGTGCGAAATTCGCCCCGACGGGTTGTCGGTCGTACCCCAACCACATTTCACACCACTATGAACAATAAATGCACACACTGAAATCGCTATTACCGATATGCTCATCCAATCAAGTTTCGATAAACCCGTTTATCATCATCTCCTGCGGTTTCGAACACGCCTGTTAGGTGGTGCGGTAGACCGCGCCCAAAGCCAGGGCCCCGGTAACGTGAGGTAGCCGAGTCGGGGCAGCGTGCGCTGACCCAAGCCGGGGCCGCGCGTCCTCCCGGTGTCATGTGATAGCCCGGGGCTGCCCGCGGGGATGCGGTAGACCGCGCCCAAAGCTGCGGCCCCGGCTTGGGTCAGTGCACGCTGCCCCGACTCGGCTACCTCACGTTACCGGGGCCCTGGCTTTGGGCGCGGCTTCTGCTCATACTTTGTGGTGCGGTGGTGGGGCGTCGGGCCGCGCGCTCTGACTTCGGCCAAGAAAAATGTGTCAGCTGATCATTGTCATTTCTGCCACTTGCGTGTGGTGAAATGGGGTCATGACTTAAGAGACGGCTTTTTCATATCAATTATTTTACATAAAATCATATTTCAAACCATAAATAATGTTCGACAGCCAAATAAAAGAAACAATACCAATGCAGGCTTACAGTTTAAGGCTCGACATTGTGTTGTCTACGATTAGACAGCTGATAACTCATTCCCGTACGTCGTAACTCTATAATGACCTTTGCTTATTGTCACATGTGCGCCGCATTCGCGATTGTTGCCGACGCCTGTTTACAGGTCAGCCCACTACAATTGTTATACATATAGAAAAACCGATAAACTTTTAGGCGAAAAAGGCACTATTCCAGGCCCATTTTTTGATTTTTTTTTGCGATATTAGGTAAAAACAGAAGCTTCTTATCCTAGGAAAAATAAAATGGGAAATCTTTCAAAGGTGGCACACTACCTTTAATTTAAAGTTTGAGCTCAAGGTCAAGGTCAGGTCAAGGGTACAAATTGCAAGTTTCTACAGTATCGGCCTTGCACCGTAGTTGCCGAAGAATGGAGTCATGGACTGAGACTGATTGCCCAAAACGTGTTTGGGCCTGACCTTGGCCATAAGTTTGGCAGGCCAGATTTTGTACTGGACCATTTTGAGTCAACTTTGAGAAATACATAACGTACAACGGTGGTAAAATCGTTGCTATAGCTATAACACAGTTGACCCGCTCCGGGTGTGAGGGAGGGGTGTGGGGCAATGAGTGCACTGACGTGGCGCCCTCGGAGGGCCGGTATGGGATTAAAGCTCAGCTGCACTAAGGGCTTGTGTGGTGCCTTCAGTTATCGGTGGCACCCTCAGAATCACCGGCGTAGGGCCCTCAGAGCCGCCGGTAAGGGAGGCGCCGGTGTGGGGTCGCCATGCAGGTGCCGGTGTGGGCGATCAGAGGTGCTAGTGTGATTCTCTTAGAGGCGCCGATGAGGGTCCTTACAGGCGTTGCTCCGGGCCCTCATATAGACGCTGGTGTAGAGCCGTTACAGACTGGTGTGGGGCCTTTAGAGCTGCTGACGCGATTTGTCTACAAGCCGGCAGGGGTCTCAGTGACCGGCAAGGGGTCCTTAGGGCCTTAGGCCGGCAGAAGAAGTCCTGCGGGGTCCTAAGAGACCGGCATGGTACTGTCAGACGCCGGTGGGGCCCTCAGGGTCACCGTTGTGGGGCCCTCAAGTCATCAGTGGGTGGCCTTTAGATGCGCAGGTGTTGGATGGGTCCTCAGAGCCGCCGATATAGGGCTTTAATAGGCACTGGTGTAGGCACTCAGAGTTGGGGGTGTGAGACCCTCAGAGACACCGGTGTGGGCCCTCATAGGCACCGACGAGGGCCCCATAGTTGCCGTTATGGGGCCCTCAGAAAAATAAGTGTGGGACCATCACAGGTGGGAAATGCCCCTAGAACTGTCCCCTCATAGGCCGGTAAGACCTCTCAGAGGCCAGTAACGGGCCTTTGGAGACCACCGAGGTGTCCTTAAAAGCCGCAAGAGGCTCTCAGAAGTCGGCGTGGGGCCCTTATGGAGACCTTAGTGTGGCTATTTAGGGCCCATGAGGTGCTCTAACGAGCCCCACGGGGCCCTTCTGAGTAGAAATATGGCCATCGTTAACCCTCAGCGGTCAAATGGCGCCGCAGGGCCTCTCGGACCCGAGGGTCCCTTTGAACCCGATGGGGGGAGGGGGTACGTGTCTCCTTAGACCCCTAGCTATGCCACTGTTTCATATGTATCATGTCAGGTATTTTAGGCTCCCCCCCCCAACTTGAAAATCGTTCCCGGGCCCCTGATAATATCAGATGTAATGTTAACACAAATATCATGCATCTTAATTTGTGGTGATTTATTCAATGTATATTCTCTTAGTCACTGAATTGAGTAAGCATAGTATTTGCATGATTCACTGGGCTCATTACAGTACTAGGAGATGGACATTCTGATTATTGAGGGCCTTGAGTCAGCTGGGAATGTTTTGAGGAGGCTGGGGGTGCTTTAAGAAGGCAGGGGGTGCTGAGCTAGTATATAGGGCCTTGGCTGAGCTCAGGATTGGGGGTGCTTGAGCACCCACAAAGAGATATAAAGTTACGCTTATGGTTGGCACTGACAACGCCCATTTCTAATATAAATACAAATGACGTCAAAATATTGTTATCCCATTTTTCCTACCTTTTAATGAGTTTCTATCAGATTATTTACTTAACATTTACAGTAAATTGATGAATTTGGTAATAATGTTTTAAAATGGCTCAATATTTGCAACAATGATATTGAAATAGCCGGAAATACGTAAACGCATGCTGCGAATTGCGTGAATCGCATAATTCTTTCAAGGCCAGCGTTGTTTCAATTTTTGGTCTGTCCAGCGCCAAAGTTGTCTGTAAAGGGTGGGTAGGTAATGTAATTATTTTTTTATGTATATTATCGTGTTTTTCTTTTTATTGATAGGTTGAGGTGCGCGCTGTGGGTTGATCAAGGGTTGATAAAATGCTCAGCTGTATTCTAACGTCCGGTTTCTGTATTTGACATTTTAGCACCATATTATTTGCGAGCTATCTGCTAAGCTAAAGTTGACTGGACTAGAGCTTGTAATTGAATGGTTTTGTAATTTAAGCTTCAATTGGCTACCTATTGCTACCTTATATTTTATCATTGGCACCTATAACTATGTAATATTCCATCACTGGGCAAGGGAGCCGGTAACAGTATACATTGAGTCCGAGTGACTGTTAAAAGATAAAGTTTTCATATTCTTACATTATTTGACATCCTGAATCCAAAAATGATACTTATATGTCTTGGAAATAAAAGAAAAAACATAATCAAACCTGACCTAACCTTACCTATTTACCTACAACCTACCAACCTACAACCTACAAACCTACAACCTACAACCTAAAACCTACAAACCTACCAACCTAAAACCTAAAACCTACAAACCTACAACCTAACCTAACCTAAAACCTAAACTCTGCTGTTACATATTTGTATCAACAGCGTCACAATTGTCCACTCGGAACTAATATATACTAATACCAGGGAGCCATCAGCTAAATGGTGCCAAATATTCACAATTTAATGCTGGTAGTTGGCAATAAATACAAATAATGGGCCTTACTAACAACTGGACAAAATCAGCTGGCTGACCAGCTGTTGATGTACGATAACCATAGCTATGTTATTTTTTATATAAATATGGTAGGAGATGGACATGAACATGTAAAATGGCACTGATAAAAATTAAATTATAGATATTTAGTTATTTGTATCTGGCATTGATATATCAGTCAGGCGCACTGTGGTAATTCTGGTCCATTTATAGAAACGTTGCTATATTTGGAAACGTTTCCAAATATAGAAACTCTGCGTTCCATAAATGGAAACGCTCAGAAGCACCGATCATTCCGGACGATTTATTTTAAAGCAAGATGCGTTATATAACTTTCTAGATGGTGGAATGCCATCTAGTGGCAACAAGGAAGCACTCAGGTGAAAATGACACGTCAGTTTCGCCAAAACTTAAAACATTTATTTAGCCCAAATTAGCCAATATTCTGCCAAAAATCAGCCCAAATCAGGTTCTGGACGTCATATTTGAAGGGAAACCTTAATGGAAGTTTTTCTCTTATTCGCAATTTCTTCTACATTTTACACAAACCGGAAATCAAATCGTCGTCATTACCATGGCCTTCATGGATTTCTTCGGGCCTCCTTGCGATTATAAACTCAAATGTTGGCTTGTCACTGGTGGCAACCGTTTTGTGCGAAATTTCGCCAGAGCTTGCGAAGATCGTCAAACAGGTGAGCGTGCACCTACCGTTTCCAAATATAGAAACGCAGTGTTTCCATATTTGGAACAAGCGTTTCTATATATGGAACATCGTTTCCAAATATAGAAACGTTTCTATATATGGAACGGAATTACCACAGTGTGCCCGACTGATATAACAAGCTCTGTGCCTGCTAGCGCAACCGTAGGTATGGCGTCAGCTGGCAAATTGTCCAGAGAATAGCAGGTGTGGCCCCAAATAACAAGTTTCAGCTTATTTGGGCCACCTTGAGCTGAATGTCTGACTGCCAGCAAGACATTCATGAATATCAATATTGATCTGCTGCTAGGTTGACCAATGTTTCAAGATTCGGTAGCTGCCATGCGCCCAAAAGTTTGGTGGCTTTATGCACCAGATTTGGCTCATGTGAAGTTTAGCCCGGTGTGCACCAAACTTTGGTGGGCATTAGGGTTAGGAAGAGGTGGCCTGCCTGGGGGCTCATACCTGAGATCGCAACACAAATTGTGGCACTGTTTAATTAAAGGATTTCCAATTTTTATATCTTGTAGAATTTAAGGTATTGGTGTAATGCTTTACCTACACCTACAACCTGAACCTACCAACCTGCAGAGTGCAGACCTAAACCCTACCTCTCATAAACCTACAACCTACCAACAGCCAACCTAAAACCTAAAACTACAACCTTGACCTACCTACTGTGCAGCGCAGCTTCTGCTGATGGTGAAGCCAGCTTTACCAATACCAGATTTAGGACATTTTAGGCTATTATTTTTGCAATTTCTATTAGGTGGTTGTTTTCTGGTAATGCAGTGACACTCTTTGCTGCAGTTGCAAAATACACCCTGGGGCCCGAGGGCACCTCTCACAAATGGGCACCCAAAATTTTTGATGCAATGTTGCCAGTATGCCAGGTGTATTTGTCATATGGGCATAGCATGTATTTTTCAAGTTGGAGTTGCAATATCATCTTAATCATTTCAGTAAGTGAACCTAAATGGTTTGTGTCATTTTGCCATGCTTTATCAAATTACATTTTTGCTGTGATTATGACCTTGTCAGTTCAGTTGCAGGTAGTGAATCGGCAGCCAGAATGCTGCTGATATGGCAGCTGCAGTGGGCTGCTTTGGTGCTGCTGCTGGCAGCATGTGGGCCTACCTGTCATGGGCAGGATGACATCGAGCCAGACCCATTTGCCAACACCCGCTATCTCATTGGGGGGGATGGAGGAGATCTGGTGGACCTTCGTACCAGCCTGGAGCCGTGAGTTGGGAAAGGGCTGGGACCTCTGTTTGAATTTATAGCCTTGAGCTTAGAGAGTAGAATCTCTGTACAGCTTGAGCCATATCTTTGGAATGTACTTCTATGATCCATCCATGAGTCTGTGTCTGGGGACCCTCATACTTATTTGGAGCTGTAAGTCAAAGGATGGCATCTAAAGATGTGAGTTTGGAACTTTTTAAGTTAGATGGACTAAAAAGCATGACCAGAGGGCCAATGATCTGCATCAGCCAGTGAACAAATCTGCGCCAGCCCAGGGCAATCAGATTGGAATGTGCACCATTCAGCTGTGAAGTTGAAGTGTGAACTAGGTACTCCTAGAATCTCTGTAACATAATTTCAAAATTTGTTTTAGTGCTCAGAAGAAGTACATTTAGAGGTCAATCATTCTTTGGCCAGCCTCACTGAGTCTCACACACATCGTTTTATTGGTCAACACTGTGCCAGCACACTGCACAGTAGTTCAGCATCTTACCACTTTCGGGCCTGCAGCAGCACTCTACTGAAAGTCCTCCTTGCACCACGCACTGGCTGAGTGCCCCCTAACCAATGTGATCTCATCAAATTGTCATGTTTTACAGTCAGGGTGGTGCGCAGGAGTACTGCGTGCGATCTACTGGGAACGTGTGTGTGATTCGTCCCACTGTGACAATTTTAGCGTGCCACTAGGAGTACTGCTGGCTCTGAATGTGGTCCATCCTGGTATAACCGTGTTCTGACGGTGTTGTGATGTGTCACCTGTAGCTAGCTAGTGCTGACCCAGACTCCGAGTGTGATCCATCCTGTTGCCATCACTGCTTAGCTGACACTATTTTAATATGTTCCCAGGACCTACCTAGTGCTGGCCCCGAGCATTGTTCGTCCCGGTACCGTATATCGGGTGATGGTGAACATCCTGCGCGCGCGCCAGCCGGTGGACACGCGTGCCGCGCTTCTGCGGGACGGTGTGCAGATCAGCAGTGCGGCGGCCCGACTGCAGGCCGGCTACCCGCACACCCTGCTGCTCAAGGTGGGCACGGGATAGAGGCATTTTGGCCAGATGAAACACTATGCTAGTAGGCTTTCTGTTATCTGGCTTCAAAACGCACAGGCTTTCGATTTTCACAATACTTATACGGTTGGAATTAATTTGCTACATTTTTGTTTCAAGTGGGTGCCAAACCAGTGGGTTAGTTCATTCTGCTGTTCAAACAAAAGCAAGAAACAGCTGTGCTGCCTGGCCCCTGGGTTTTGTAATTCATGTATTGCTTCTCAGTACCTTCCCCAACACTCCCCAATTCCTCGGATCGTTCGCCGGCCATCGTTAACCAATCTGTCGGTAACGTTGGTAACTTCAATAACCCGTCAGTAACCAACCCCGTCTCGCCAACAGGTGCCTACCACCAGCGTGGAGGGCAACTACCAGCTGCGTGTGGAGGGAAACTACCCGGACACTGTCGGGGGCACGCTGTTCCTGAACGAGACCAGCGTACACTTCTCCACGCGGTTCCTGACCATTCTCATCCAGACCAGTCGGCCCGTGTACAACGGTGACCAGAGAGGTACGCACGAACCCCTGGGATGTGCCAGAGGGATAAATTGTGTTCTTTCTCCCATTTTAAACTGATACATGGATGATGGAAGAATGGTTCATTAAATGTTTGGTCGATTATTTATTTACATTCCGGCTAATACAAAAATGTATTAATTGGAATGTATTTTTGTATTTACGAAAGTGCCATAAGCGTTTTTTCGCCCTCGTATATGACGTTACGATGTGTCATTCTGTTACGTTTGTATGGCTTATATTACTCTCGACTAGGACGTTGTAATCAAAATGTTTTTGTTTGCCTTCTCTTATTGTCTTCCCTCACGCCACCAAATATCCGTTTTGTTGTAACGCCCTATCAGCTCGTTCGATGTTGTGTATAACACTTCGTGCATTATATTCCACAGTGTGTTTCCGCGCGATCATGCTGACCCACCGTCTGAGGCCGTTCGACGAACCGGTGGATGCCTACGTTCTGGTGAGCTGGGGACTGATGAGTTGTCCTGAGTAAGCTGACTAAGTGGTTAGAGATCGCTCAGGAGTGGATGGCGAAGGGTTTACTGATATGGGGACCCGTCAGGCTGGGTTGAGATGCGGAGTCACTAAGCAGGGGACCGTCAGAGGAAGTTTTTAATGAGCTGCTGGCTCGAGTGGTGTGTCATCTCTGGTTCCCGCCTCTTTAATCATTTGATTACTGCCAACTTCCTCTCGTGCTGGAAACCGAACGCTGACTTACCGTCCGCCGCAGGATCCTGACGGCTACGTGATGCGCTGGTGGCCCTCGAGGCCGACCAACAACGGCGTCGTCTCGCTGTGCTTCCAACTGCCGTTCCTGCCCAAGACGGGCATGTGGATGATCCGAATCAAAGTGCGCGGGCAGGTGCAGGAGAAGCAAGTCGCCGTCGAAAAGTACTACGTGCCCAGATATGAGGTGAGTGAGCGTTATTTTTTTTTTTTTTGCTTGCCCCTGTGAACAGCCACGGTTACAGAGAGGGAAGAGTACGACTTGCATATTCTCGCAAGAATACGATTACGCCCGGAACTACTACCGTGGAGTCGTCCTCCGATGCGGAGTGGTACAGTACGATCGTGAAGTCTTTCTAAATGAGGAATATTCGGCGAAATACGGCCAGTCATCATGCGTCAAACGGTGCGCTGCTACCACTGACTACGGATAAGTTTAATCTGTGCATCAAACTTTCTGCGATAGCAATGACTGTCGTTTATCCGTAACGCTGCCTTTCTTCCTCGTCGCCTACGATCATCGCAGTGGCTGCTTTGTCTGATAAATGTTAACAAACTGAAACTTCCGTCGACAGGTGTTCGTCGACATGCCGATGCACTTCCTGACCACGGACAAGTACGTGGAGGGCCGCGTGGTGGCCCGATTTGCCGAGACCAAGAAGCCGGCAGTGGGCAATATGACGCTGGATCTCTATTTCCGAGAGCAGCTGGAGACCAGCCTGAACAAATCGTTCTCGTACGCCAACCAACAGATCACCAAATGGGTTAGTAAATGAGCTCTTATAGACGATTTTCCGCGTGTCCGAAGGTTTCTTGAATCTTGAGCTAAATCACACACGAACATTATCTTACAATAGATGATAGCAACTACTAAGCTGTTTTTCTTCGAACTGTAGGTATATAATCGCAGTAGCAAAATGATATGTGCACTACTGAGAGTAATTGAAGTTTCCATCCTTGAACGTCAGACATCATTGCGTTGTGTGTTGGTTTGCCACAACCTTCAGCATTGACTGTTTTGCGTGACGTTGTGTTGTGTTTAATCCCTGTTTCATCCTTCGTTCAGGTGAATGGACCCTACCAGTTCCGTTTCTCCATGGAAGACCTGGTTGCGCGCGTGCCGCGCATCGACGGCGCCCAGCTCAAGGTGGTAGCCCGCATGCACGAGTTTTTCGAGGGCCTCAATGAGACGGGCTACTGTGTATCACACGTGATCAACTCGACCGTTAGTCTGCGCTTCGTCGGCAGCCAGCCGATGGTCTTCAAGCCCGGCATGCCTTTCGAGGGCGTGGTGAGTCCAAGTGTTTGTGCTCTTGTCTGTGAGTGTATGTATGTCTGTGGGGAGTTTTTTTTTTGGAGATTCTTCGGTGGGACGTTGTTTGGGCTCGCCACATGATGGCCACATTGCTTGCTACGAAAAACAAGCTTTGTATGACCGTGCTAATTTTGTCTATCGCAGCAGCGGACCCACTTTTGCTAAGTGCTCGATTAACTTATGTTAAATGGTCGTGAAATCCACTTTACAGGGTGTCCGGAAAGTCCTGGCGCTTTCCAACATTTCTGAAAACATGCCTCTGGTTGATAGACACTCAAGAAAAGATCAAAATAATTATCAGGGACACCAAGCCACATACTTCCGCTAAGTGCTCATTCAATATAGCCACCGTTGGCACCGCCGACGGCCTCGTCGCGGAGGCGGAAGCACCTGCATGTTTTGACGATGTAGGACATTCCCAAGTCTTCACATGCTGCCATGTTGCGAGTCTTCAGCGACTCCAGGCTGGGTTGAGTGAGAGGTGGCCTAGAGCTTATTCTACAAAACGCGTAGCACGCCTTAGTCAAGCGGGTTAAGGTTAGACGAATAAGGCAGCCTAATCTCATTTCGCCAAAGTGATATGGCCGCCGTGCTCCTCAGTCAGTATGGCTTGGGCGGTAGCGGCATTGTTGGAGGGCGCTGCGTGCTGTCGAAAATTGAAATGCGAAGTGACCCTTAGGGCAAGTCACCTTGACCCCCGGGTTGATGTGTCTGTTCAGGAGCTCGTCGTGGACCAGCCTGTTATTCATTTATTTGACATTGACGAAGATAATGAAACATTTTTGTCTCAGACCCCTGGATTTTCTTCGATTGCCGCGGAAATGCTGCTAAATTCTCGGCACTTTTGACATAGCGTGGTCGTACCGGTCTGGGGGATATTTTTTTTTAAGGAATTGAATTCCCGAGTCGGAGTAAGCCTTCACCTGCTCAACCATTCGCCCAAAAAACGCCGCGTCGCGCTGCAACTCGCGCCTCGTTCAAGCCGCACCCGGCCGCCGCGCGCAGGCATCCCGCGACAAGGCGCATTTTCGCCCATCTACCCATCACTAAAAACGAATTCAAGGCCATATTTACACGACCTCTGGCTGAGTGGCCAGCAAGGGGTCATGTCTGTGGTGATTGGCTGAATGTCCAATAATCACAGCACGCGTTAGACGGCGTCCAATAGAAGCGCCAGGACTTTCCGGACACCCTGTATTTTTAGCTCCTGCTGTGCCGGTTGTAATCTGTCCCTCCTAGTCCTGAGTTAAGTCTTCATTGGCCTGCCACCTCCCTCGCTCACTCTCCCCACCTCCCCTACTCTCCCCAGATGGCCGTGTCGTACCACGACCTGCAGCCGCTGTCGGCGGAGCGGCTGCGCGGATCGTCTCTGACCATCACCTCGTCAGCGGTGGGCTCTGGGACTCGCAGTCAGGAGGTGGTACCCCGCTACGAGGCCATCGATCACCGCTACTGGGGATCCACCATCAACAGGTAGCGAATTAATCTGCAGTAGATGAGCAACTAAATCATGTTTATTGTTCAAGACGCTGTGCCGATAGTGGTGCTTGAGTAATATTCCGATTAAATATTCCGTTATGAGGGGCGGGCTACATAAAAGGGGTTTCTGTAACTACTGGACGGTCACGGTTTTCTATAGATTTGTTAATGGGATAGCTCTTACTGTACTGCGATGGCTAATAGCTGTACTGTTGTTCTCTACAGGAACTTTTACTCTACTACGACCACCACTGCGCGGCCGGGTGCGGCGACCCTGGCTCCGGAGTGGCTACTAGACTACCACCGTAACAACACCGTACAGCGGCTTCTGGAGGAGCAGCGATTTGCCGAGTATCGTACACGCGGCCTGCATCGATTCCGATTCATAATGCCACCGCGTGGGGGCTCGCGTATCACGCTGACGGCACAGTATGAGGACGAAGAAGGAGGAAGGGTGAGTAACGGGATGCTGGGATGTTTCTGTGGACAGGGAATGCTGACAAGTCAGCATGACAATGACCGTCAAGCTGTGTGTTGAAGGAGGGGGATAAGATGGGATTGACGTAGCCAGGTGGATGGGCAGTAACATGGTTTCTTTTTAACTCCATACCAGTGTAATGCTGGCACCAACGGATGCAAATCTAGGCAAATATCCACGCTATTCTTGACGAGTAACCTCTTGTGACTTACCACTAGTCCACTTATTCCGCACCATTTCCCGATTCATTCCATCCCCAACTGACGCCACTGCTCCGACCGACAGGCGACAGCCACAATGGATCTGCTGCCTTACTACTCTCTGGAGGAGCGGTACATCTCTGTGGAGACGTCCACGGAGCGCGCCGGCGTCGGTCAGTACGTGGTGCTGCACGTGCGCGCCTCCTTCCAGATGGAGCGGTTCGCCTATGTGGTGAGTACGACGCCCGGAAGCCAAGCGTTAGAAGGCAGTTAGAATAAAATATGCAGCGTGGCTTCATCATTTGAATGGGTAATATGAGACTATGAAAACAGAAGAAGGACAAAATATGCGACTTGGCTTCATCTTTTGAATGGATAACATGAGACTATTTAAGCATACTGAAGTAAAATTATGTGCCGTGCATTCATCTGGTATAGACCATTTTGTGTCAATGAAATGATATTTCGTTTTGTTGAGCCCGGCATGAATCTAAATATGGATTCCACGATCTCTCTTTCTCCCCGCCAGGTGATGTCCAAGGGCCTGCTGCTGTACGCCAATCAGGAGACCATGACGCAGACCGGTCGTACCGTCCACACTCTGAGCCTGCCCGTCAGCTCCGAGATGGCTCCCACATTCAAAGTACTCGTGTACCACGTGACGGAGGACGGGGAGGTGCTCTCGGACGCCATCACTCTGCCCGTGGAGGGCATTGGTAGCGGTGCGGTGAGTGGCGGGAATGGCGCTGGGTGAGCCGTTTTGCGTGAAGGATGTGGTTTGATGGCCTTATAAGAATGATAAGTAGAAGTGGGTTTTTGCGTTGACGAAAATTAAACAGCCTGGAGATGTTTTGTACCCGACCATGAGCCGGTTTGAAAGAAGAACATAGTTACATATACCAGTTCCTTAGGTCCGTTATTGATTAGACCCATGTTATTGACTCCATATTTAAATCAGTGTTGAGTTAACCTACTACGTACTAAATGCACTTGTCTAAACCGCTAACCCATCGGCTGCTACCAGTCACGGACTTATTCGGTCCTTATGCTTGTGACATCGGCTCTGCAGGTGGATCTGAAGCTGAACCAGGACAAGGACCACTCTAAGGCCACTGTAGAGGCCGTGTGTCGCTCCATCCCTGGCTCGTTTTTCGGTCTGTCCGGCCTGCGCACGGACGCGCGCCGCGCCGCAGGAGACTCGGAGCTCAGCAAGGCCAGTGTGCTGCGGGAGCTCTACTCGTTCGAGAACTTCACCAGGTCAGTTGCAACATGAGTGGTAGAGAGATAAGCGGCGGGAAAAGAGAAAGGGGATCGAAGGAGGGAGGAGGATGAGCTGAGTGGAAGAGGTACAGAACAGGAGAAAGAGGGCGGCAGAGCGCAGCTGGGAGACTAAACTGACAGTTGTTGGATGGAGGGACATGTCTGGGAGGGACGAATAACAAAGAGAAAAGAAGTAGTGGATAGCAAACTGGAGATTCTGGGTAGTCTCAAAACAATTGTCGATCCATGACAAGTACTTCAATAGCTACGTTAACGATCCAATTGCCAGGCGGGAAAGGCCTGTTGTGGACAATTACAGCCCTAATTTGGATGATTTATTTTGGTTATTTTTCCATGCTGCCATTTAGTGATCACCTGTCAGATCAAATGAGGTAAGGAGGACGCGAACGCTTCAACAGCATTTCTAGATTCACCCACGCCATGAGTCATAATTGTCTAGTAGCACAGCCACCTTAGCACGCTGTTCGCATTTGTATGCGATACAGAACACGGACGTCACAACGGTACCCTCTCTGTACTCTTCGGATGCAATGACCTCTCACAAACCTCTGTATATCCACTAACCCCTGTAACCTCTCACTAACTTCTGTCTCACTCACTGACCTCACTGACCCGGCTAACCCCTGTAAGCTCTCATTGACCTCCGCCACCCCACTGACCCCCCCCCCCCCCCACTGACCCGCACCTCCCCCCGGCCAGGTCCGTCCACTCTGTGACCCGCCGGTTCCGCGGCGGCCTTCACCCGGACGATGTGGACTACTTCTCCGCTCCCAACTACGGTGTGGACGCCAATAGGACGTTCGCCTTCGCTCAGCTGGTGGTGTTTACGGACGGAGCCGTGCCGCAGCTGCCTACCACACTGGCTTGTGAGTATTCGGGTGGCAGCTCTACAAACGGCGCCGATTGGGGCTGTTGGACTGGCCGCTACCCGAAGGAAATCATGCTTTGCTAAATGCGTATAATGATTATCATTTATGATGTCCGTGATGGAATACTTGTTGGTAAATTTTAGAAAACATTCGAGGCCAGTACAGTGATTGTTTTATCTAGCGAATAATCGATAAAGCGTCATCATTATTTTAGTGCCCGTCTGGTAACGTATGGTTTATGTCATGGTTGCTGGTCTTTTATAGGTTGTGACAGTGTCCAAATAAAGACGGGCTGTGACGATGTCCCAAATCCGAAAGTGTGACGATGCCGCTTCCCCCTTTCAGCGGCGTGTAACATTACGCTGGGCCAGCGCTCCTGTCTCACCTCGGGCTGTTACCGAGTCGAGGAGCGGTGCGACGGTCGCCGCGCCTGTGCCGACGGCTCAGACGAGCACGACTGCGCGCCACACGGCGGAGACGCCGAGGCAGAGTTCCGCCGCACCAGGAAGAATCGGCTGCGAACCATGTACGACCAGCGACAGGGCGACTGGATCTGGAAGGATGTGCAGATCGGTAGGTACCGCGCCTGCTGCGCACGGGGAGCGCGCGTGGGAGGGGAGGGGAGGGGAGGGGTATCGTGGTGTGGCCCGTTGAGGCTGGAAGGATAAAAACCTGAGCTTAGCAGCGGGTCAGGGTACCTGATTGTGAGGAGTGGAATGCTATTATTTTGGCGTCTAAACGTTTTCGTTCCATAAACATTCTTTTCCATTACCCACCCTAACAAAGGCTTGAAACGATCGACATTATTTAACTAGCACTCATGAGTATTAAAATAGCTGAGGCACAGTTATGTCAGTGTACCATGTTCCGCGGCGAGCTCACGTGCCCTCTGACTGACATTTCTCCCCGGTCCCTTCTCCGCAGGGTACCGCGCCACCGAGGAGGTGGTGCTGAGAGTACCTCGTCAGGACGCGCTCTACTACGTCACGGCGTTCAGCGTCAGCCAGCAGAACGGCTTCGGAATCATCGAACAGCCGCTGGTGGTGAGTCGCGGACTGGCTGAGGACTGGACTGACGAGTGAACACTGTTTGCAATTGGTAGCAAGCTGACTGGGTTGTTCCTGGTCGCTTGCCGGCCAATAACTGAAATGCTTCATCCAGAGGCCTTGCTTTGCTCGCAATCTCGCAATGTAAAAAATACTTAGCAAAGCCTTAAAAAACGAAGAATAAACTCTAACAAGATCCTAAAATCCATAGGCTTTTGCATAAACCGTGTCAACCGTAGGTGTGCTGAACCCACACCAAAATATTGTGGTAGAGGGATCTTTTTGTAGTATTTCAATCTCCTCTTGAAATGCTTCCATTTCAGTACAACACCACGACACCGTTCTACATGCGGATGGAGATGCCGACCCGGTGTCGGCGCGGCGAGCAGATCGGTGTGCGGGCTGTTCTCTCCAATAACGTGGCCCAGGAGCAGCTGGCCCTGCTCGTCCTGCCAGCCTCGGACCAGTACAAGTTTGTGCACGTGGAACCGGACGGTTACGTGCAGCACTTCCGACCGCGGCTCAGCGGTGGAGCGCACCAGCATCTGGTGGTGGTAGGTGACACGGGGATCGCTGACGCTGACGAGGGGGTAGGGTGGCGGAGTACTGTCGCCTGAAGAGGCTAGACGACACTGTGGGAGAGACCAGCACCTGGGATCAGACAATCTCAATGTCAGATCACTTTTAACGAAAGTACCTACCAAGTCGCCTGGTAGGTGCCAAATTGCCCTGTGCATTATGACCATATGTCTCCTTCTACGCGCCTGAACTACTAGAGCCTAGGTATCTACAATATGGACAGGTGCAGGTGGGTTCAGAATGCACACTTCACACAAAATGCCTATCCCTTTACCTTACCATCTTTCTCCGTGTTTTCAGCTGCCTCCATTCACCAGTGTGGAGGTGGACATCCCGATCGCGCCTCAGATCCAGCAGGGAGAGCTGACGGTAACACTGACGGCGCTCACCCAGGTCGGCAGGGAGGACGTCAGCCGCACTATGCTGGTCGAGGTCAGTGGGACTGGGGTACATGGCAGCCGCCGGCAACGGCTGATGACTGTTGAAAGACGATAGATTTGTGTGGGGGATCGACATTCGAGTCGATTCCTCAGCTACAGGGCAGGCTCTGGACTAATTGGACTGGACAGTAAACGCGTATCGCAAACCGCGACCGATAATTAATAAGAATGTAAATCAAGATATGACGCAAAGGCGGCAAAAAGTTACCATCTTGTTTTGGTCGCATCCGACCCTCCACCCCCGTGCCGAATTATCCCGTACAGTTGCTACTGCGGACCTACCAACCTCCTCCGGTCCTGACGCCCATCCCTAGTCCCCAACGCTCGTCGTCGTTGTCTCTAACACTCTCCTTTCGTCCGATTCTGCCCCTCAGCCGGAGGGAGTGACCATCAACAAGCACACATCGTTCCTTCTGGATCTGAAGAACCGCGCCGTCGAGTTCAAGTACCTGGATGTGATCGTCGAGCAGTCGCCCGTGGTGCCGTACGCCAGCTGGAGGCGATTCGTGTTCGATTCACCCATGGGACACGTCACTGTCACAGGTAAGTACGGGTCAGATTTTGGGACTCATTACCGCCACATAACGTGAAATAAAGCCGTCGATCTCACTTGTTTTCCCACATACCTATCTTGTTTGATCATGTGTTGACCTACCTCTATCCATATGACGCTGGTCTTGATGACTTGCCCCGACGTGTCCCGTAGTGACATTGGTCCCATTTTCCTTCTGACATCAGTCCTGTTTTCCTTCACTAACACCACTCCCGTATTCTCAGGTGACGTGGTCGGCCCCATCTTCCCCACCGGCGGACCGGTCAACACCTCCGTCCTGCTCAACCGACGACTCCGCAGTACCGAGGCATCCGCCTTCGACTTCGGCGCCAACCTGTGGTCGCTGCACTACCTGCGTCTGACCAGCCAGTTTCGGTTGAGTGCCGCGCGGCCTGTGTTCGAACAGATGAACGTCGACATGGCTGCCGTGCTGTACCGGTTTGACGCCAACGGCGCTTATAGGATGTGGGACTCTGCACCGCCCTCTGTATGGTGAGTCAGCCACGGGATCTGCGGGGCGTACAGTCTACTTGACTGCTGGGCGATGGGCGGATGAAGAGGGTTTTTCTTGACAAAGATCATGCTATCGGCTTTGCGCATCTGGCTCTTGCGTGCACGTTGCGTCATTCACATAAGCCTACCAATCGGCCTTATCCTGAGTTTTCCATCTAGCGCTCTGTGCTAACCACCATGTGTCTACAGGCTGTACTAACCATTTTGTCTCTTCTCCCTCCGTCCTCAGGCTTACCGCCTGGGTGACGCGGCTCTTCCAGGAGGCCAAGTTCCAGGACTGGGAGAACTTCCTTTACATCGAGCCGGCCATCGTCTCCAAGGCCATGTCTTGGCTGGTGCAGCACCAGGACAACGCCACCGGAGCGTTCTTTGAGACCAGCAACTACTCGGCTCCGCTCGACCCCAAGATCGACCCCAAGGTGCGCTGAAAGGTGTCAGGTGCCGTCTAAAACTAATTGCTTGGTTGTTGATGTCGGGTCGCAAGTGCAGACAACAGTGGGGTATTTGGGAGTTGGGACCGGCCGCAGACATGTCAGCTCTCATCGCCCTTTCCAGTTTAGGTCCCAAACAGGGTATTGATAATTATAATTCCGTATCTCTGGCACCAGATCTGACCTCATGACGTTGATGTTAGCTCTGAACCGTGAACACATGTGACGCCGGCCCGTGACGCCGCTCTGTGGCCCTCCCCCTTTACGTCTTTCTTTCGGGATGCCCCTCCCTTGCGAATCCCTCATGAATCCCTCCATGACGCCTCTTGTGACGCCTGTCCCCCATGACTTCTTTCGTGATACCAGTCATGACTCCTTCCATGATGCCACGGGTAGGACCTTCTCTCATGACGACTTTATAATGCAGACCTCCCTCTTGACGCTGTCTCATGTCTCACGTTTGTCTCGACTTGCCGTGTCTTCCTCCTAACGTTTCTTTCTCTCGCCAGTCGTCTCGTCCATCGGACCCGGTGCCTTTACGAAACATCTCACTGACAGCCCAGGTGCTGATCACCCTCTGCGAGACAATCGACTCGCTGCAGGGTGACCTGAGAGCCAGAGCCAATGTCGCCAAAAGAGGCGCTGTCAGGTAAGAATGACCAGGGTTAGAAGTGCAGCTTGCACGCAGATATTGGGTGTGACGTCTTTATTATGTACTCTTCTTGTGATGGGGTCATCACTGAATGATACTTGCTGTTATTTTGTTGAACATTGTTTCCACCGTAAGCATAAATATGACATTGCTTTGTCTCTGCGACACTGAATGAGCCTGTGATGGCGAGTTCAACCAAAGTATTTCCTTGTTCCTCGTTCTGAGATGGCCAAGTTCATCATGTGCTCATGTTACGACCCCAGCTATCTGGAGTACCAGTTGAGGACGCTGAGCCGGCCGTACGAGGTGGCCGTCACCACCTATGCCCTGATGGTCGCCAACAGCGTCGAGAGAAACGTCGCCTTCAACATGCTCGACCGACTGAAGCGCAAAGTCGGTACGTATCAGCTATCTGACACGGCTTGGACCAAGCCGTCTGGCCTAGCGTCCTCGATGCGCCCGAGATGTGAAGTGTAACGGCTAGATTCAGGTGTTGTAGGTTGAAATGTCTTTTTCTATGTGTCCGCTTTCTAGCTAGAAAAAGAAGCTGCTTTGTCATGTTGTGATTTATGTTATCAGAGCTGCTCCAATCTAATTGAGGATAGCTACCGCCTACCAAGCGACCATTGACCGTTGACCAGTGGCTACTGACAACTGATCGTCATCCGTCTATCCGCAGACGGTATGATCTATTGGTCGCCGGCTCCGATCGAAACTAACCGCCTGACCAACGAGAACAGTCAGAGGAACCTGCTGCAGCCGAAACTCGAACAGGTACGGAAAGCTGTGCCGACTGCTCGCTGAAAAGGCGAACCACTGCGCTAATTTCTTCTGACTTAGTTGTGTATGCGTGCTTTGATTTGTTGTGGCAGCGTAGCCAGCACGAAGTTTCGATTCAGGTTATGGCGCGGGCGTAAGTTTCCCGATAAATATGTATGGCTAATAATATGGGGTTTGGTGAAAACAAGTCATTTTAATGACTGTTTCGCTGCCAAAAGTTAGACTTGGATCCGTCATTACTCATCAGCCATCTGCTTGCATCCCAGTGACGGTATCCTTATCTAGTGTAGGTAACTACGAGTTACGACCGTCGCTTGTCCCAGTCTGCGGTACTGGCAGAGCACATCTGTCACAAACGTGCAGACTACCTGCTGTTTTCCTCAACCCCATTAACCTCACACCGCCCTCTACTCTCCGCTCAGCTGTACGACACCAGGGCGGTGGAGACGACTGCGTACGGCCTGCTGGCCTACCTGATCCGGGACGGCGTCAACATTGACCAGGAGAAGATGGTGCTCTGGCTCAACACGATGAGGATGAACGACGGCGGATTCATCACCACCACGGTAAGAATCCTAACACGCTAGGATGCTTCATGATGCTTTCGTGGCTTGTCTTCAGCGTTCAGCAGCAGTGGTCACGTAGATCAACTTAAGTGTGTTACGATGAGCGTTCTTAGTGATATGACCCGTCTGCTTTTTGTCTCTGTCTCTGCCTGTCTCTGTGTCTCACTATGTCCTGTCCGAACAGGACCCTGACAACTATGTGTCTAACAAAATGTCTTGTTCAATGTTCGCACAGGACTCACTGGTAGCCCTGCGAGCGCTGGTCGAATACTCATACCGCGCCCGCCTGCGTGATATTACCGAGATGAAGGTGAACATCGAGGCCACGGCTTCTGAGCTGGACTCTACGCTCACTATCAACAACGCCACGCTGATGAAAACCCACCGACTGGACGTGAGTCAAACTGGGCGGGGCTGTAAATGGGAGGGGGGGGGGGGGGAGTCACGAATAGCTCGGATGGAACGAAGTAGAGATGGCATGGATCCTATGCGCGGAAATCTGACAGTATGGTGCTCAAAATCGGGTAGCGAATGACGCATGACAGCTGGACCGAAATAGGACCAGTTTTTCATTATAATTTTGTTGTTCTTTCATTTATTCTTTCATTCACCAGCTGCTTTCATGCACAACAAAGACAGTAACTGCCTCACATCCAACATAATTCTGCCGTTTTCAAACGCTATCTTCGTGCTGATTAACAGTATTCTTCTGTGATGTCTCTCCACAGTTTGAGAACGTCTGGGGCCACCTGAACGTGATCGGCAACGGCGCCGGCCAGGCGGTGGTACAGCTGGACGTCAACTACGGCGTGGATACCCAGATCGGCATCAAACAGCCGCCCGTCAAGTCCTTCAACCTCACCGTCACTGAGGACTTCAAACAGTTCAGAAACAAGTCCATCGGCGTGGTCGACGTGTGCGCCAGGTGAGTCGCTCGTGATTTTCAAGCGAATATAGTGGTGACTGGTGAGCTGGTGTGGAGGAAATAGTTGTGTTTAGAAGAGATGCTTCGAAAAAAATGTTTTTGATTTTGAGGACGGGGATGCCGGGCCACATCGCTAGTGTAACTAGCGTCATCTTCAGTGATATGACGGCAGCAGCTGACCAGTTACCACCACTTGAAGATAGTTACCAGTTACCACCAGCGCATACACTTGACCCGGCCTGCTTACCACTTAGCACCTATCGTCTGCAGTAGCGTCCCTCCATTCACCAACCCTCCCCATCTCTCCCAAGCCAGGTTTAGCTACCTGGTTGTCGGCCTCACGCAGATCGCGACGCGAGGAGGTGGTCCTCTGCCGGCTTCGTACCGGGCACACTTATGGCACCCATGGGTTCCTTATCGGCGTTGGCTCCAGGCCTATTTGTACCAGATGTGGTGACCGACTTTCGGTCCGACACGTCTTGGTCGAGTGCCCGAGACTGGACGCTGAGCGATTGCGGTTTTTTGGATTGCGTGGCCCCCAGCTCTCTTTGAGAACACTTCTCCGCGACGACTCCCCTTTTCTCGATTCCTTTCGCCTCTTTTCGTTCATCACGGCCTCCGGGCTTCAGGTGATTTTTAACCCCCGACTTTGAGGAAGATTGGTTAGATATGGGCGCCATATAGCCTCGTTGCTGGTGCGCCCTAAAACACCAAATCATCATCATCTCCCCCAGATGGGTATACCTGGAGGAGGGCCCGCAGAGCGGCTCTGCTGTACTGGAGATCGAGAACCCCACCGGCTACGTGCTATACCAGCCGGACGGTGACGCCGTGGTGCGAGAGGCCCAGCGCACCGGTGTCAGTCAGCTGCGAGACGTCATCGGCGGGCACACCTACGACCACGAGCGATCCACCACATGGTTCTTCGATCACGTGAGGCGGCGGGGTACAGGGACAGGCTGGGAAATTATGGAGACGGTCACGGTACCGATGGTGACCGATGGTGTCTCGCTTTGTTTATTCAACGCTGATTTTTTGCCAGTGCCTTTGTTGAAACTTATTTTCTATTTTTTTTTCTGAGTTCTACAACTGAACGTATCAGGTCATGTTCACATCCTGACGCCGATGGGGTAATGGTCGATCTCTCAGTGCAGTAGTTAGTATACATTGCATACAAAATGCATACCAGGTTACACCTCTTGAAATCGTCCCTACCTTCTCGATGACAGATTCCCGGTAACGAGAGTCTGTGCTTCAACTACACCATTCGCCGCTGGTTCCCCGTGGCCAACATGACCAAGTACCGACGGGCGCTGCTCTACGAACAATACCAACCCGGTGAGTACCCAGTACCGAACAGTATCAGTAGTTAGAGTACCGCAAACTGAAAAAAGCGAACAGTATTAAGTATTAACCCAGTAGAGATGGAGAACAAGCAGTGCCTATCGAGTATCGAGCCTTATTGTGCCGTTTACAAACTGCACACAACCGGGCTGTCCGCGCTCTGAACCATGTGACAATGGCTTGCTGTAGAGAAAGATATCGGCCGTGTGTGGGCGTGTTTTTTCGTTTCTTATATTGCTCATGACCAATGTTTGGCCGGAACTGACTTATCGTTTGCTCTGACCTCTACACCGTCGCGCTCCGTTGCAGAACGTTTTGAGATGCAGATGGTGAACTCGACAGTGCTGCACGTGCTGAACATCTGCGAGGTGTGCGGCTCCTACCAGTGTCCCTACTGTCCGTTCTACTCGTCTGCTGGTGTCCTGTCTGCCTCCGTCACCCTACTGGCGCTGGCTGTCGGGGCGGTACTGTGGGCGGGCGGCTCCACCGGCAGCTAAACAGCCTATTTCAGAGCGATCCACTGAATTGAGACTCGGCTGGTAACCGAAGAACCACCCTTTGCAGTAGGTTGCGTTATCCGTTATGAGATTTTCCGAGCCAGTAGTTTCTCCCTCTGGTAAGTCTCATCGAACTGGTGTCTGTGTGTGTACTATGCGTACTAGTGATGTCAGTTACGGAAAATCGGAATACCGATACCAAACCAAATGCTAACCAAAACCGTGGAGAAATACCGAAACCAAACCAACTTGGGAACATGAGGAAAATACCAACTTTTTACCGATTTCTTAGCCTCTCAAACATTAGCGAGGGTTCATGATACCAACAAAATATCAAACACATTAGGATTGAAATACCAAATACCGAGTTGGTATCGGTTTGGTATCGGTATACCAAAAAGTTGGTATCCGATTGACATCTCTAGTGCGTACTGTGTGCTGCCTCTCATTACCAAAATGACATGTGATGCTTGTGAAGATTACTCGATCCAAAGAAGTGTTCACGACGTCGTATGTGACTCCTGTTTAGTTTGCCTAGCTTTAGCTAGTGAGAAACATTGCTTTTTGCACACCTCATCATGTTTGGCTATTGCTCCATGCACCATCAGTTTGTTTTAGCATGTAAGTTTTCATGGGAATCATGACGGGTGTACGCCAGAATCTCACCTCTCAGTGATGTCTGTATCTCATGTATCGCGTTATTCCTCACTCCATGACGAAGGTCAGTCCTTTTTGGCATTATGTAGCCATTGCTTTTGAGCCAGTGCTTTTTTCGTTTCATATCGAGTTTAGCATTAAGTTAATTCTAAGGTAGCTACTGTCTTCCAGCGAAGCACCTAGCACTGCACGGGGCGTCAAAATGACGTAACGAAAGCTTTCCGTCCGTGATTTGTTCCGTCCATTAAATAAGCTAGCGTAGCGCCATTGTAGCGAAACATCCACGACTGATATAGTCCGAAAGGTGTTTTGGAACGATCGGTTGTGTCGTGAATCATGACATGTAGTTTTAGGCTCATTGTATCTCTAAGATCTCCACTCAAAGACGAAGAAATGTTGGTTGTCCAAAGATTTTCTTGTTAATTCGTGGTGGTGGTTGCCAGATATTTTTGCCAGTTTCATCAACGCGTGTTTTTATCTTGCCGCTATCTGGGAAGATGTTAATGTGCTGCCGTTTGTATACCGTTTTGCGGGTAACATAAACGCGAACTTCGATGTCCGCATGAAATGTGCCCACCTAGCAACTCGTCGTCCTCGGGTGCTCTTGACCTCCAGCTACATATCAATTATTAACGCACTCTGAACATTTCGATATAGTGAAACAATTATGGCAGCTGTGTTTCAGGTCTGACTTTTGGAGACATGTTGACTGTTGAGCACTCGTGTTTTCCGACGAACCTGTTCCGTCCATGTGTGATGCTTTTAGGATATAAATAAACGCCTCTTTTGAGTTACAAACGTATTCGAGATGGGCGATGAAGATGGAGTTTAAAGCGCTACCAAAACGTTAATATCACCATCATATACCCAGTCACATATTTTCAATATATTCGAAACACTCTAAGTACCACATCCAAATAATCAGACATACATTACCGCATTCAAACGTTCCTACATTCGGGACGAATCCCTGTGAGCCAGCATCATAACACTCTTCACAAACACGTGACTTCTCGTACGTCAAGCTCTCATCCCAGAGTTTGTTCCTCCTCACACCACTCGCACCGCTAACCACGTGACCCGTCTTCACCCACAGTAACACACCCTCACCGGATCACGTGATCGGCCGGGTAGTCGAACACTTTGGGGAAGTCGCGCACCTCTTCCTCCGAGTACGAGTCGAGCCGACGCGGCTGCACGCGCAACTGAGGAATCTGGCTGGTTACGTGACGCAGTAAGTCCTCAGAGACGTGTTCGTCGGGGAACAGGTGGAGCCGGGCCATCAGACCTTTACGGAGCAGGGTGCCACCTACCGCCCGGTGAACGGCCCGCTCCATGATCTGGAAGGGCGGGGTAAGGTCAGGTATGTGAGGGGCAGGGAGCGTGATCAGCAACTGCACGTCAGACTCAGCCTGAAAAGTAGCCATCATGGACTTAATAGCTCACGATAATATCGGCAGTCTGGACCCAAGCATCCTAGTATCTGCGAGCATCCAATCCAGTAGTGGGTAGGTATCAAGTATCCCACAAACGGCCTTTCATTATCGACATCTCGCGTAGATCGTGCATCCCTCTCTCACCTTGGTGGGGTTCTTCTCGTGCAGTTCCCAGGCCAGTGTCCACGTGGCGCCGCCCTTTGGGTAACCGGTGTGGTGGAAGAACACGCGCTGGTACCACTCGGGACCGGGCAGCGCTATGTCACGGCAGTTAATGACCACGACGTGGTCCCCGCAGTCGCCTGGGGGGGGGGGGGGGGGGGTGTCAGGTGAGTGTCAATGAGGACACTAGTCACTAAAAACAGGCATAATAGGGCCTCTGATGACCTCCATCGATTCTAGATGACATCATGCCCAGCAACACAAAGACATCTCGGTCAGCATCTTGAAAATAGCTATACAAAAGCCATGTGCAAAAGGCACTTCATGTCTGCTTGATCTGTCTTTTATTGTGTGAATTAAAAATGAGATTAAACATACTCACTGAGAGGGTGATATATAGGCTTATGCTGTCCTTTCAAATATTTTGCAATAGTTTTTGAAGAATCAAATGGATTTTGCCATTTGGCATCATATATGTGCCAGATGCGAGCAAAAGTTGCCCATTGCTGAAAGAGAAACAAGACCTGTCAGAATTTGGCAAAAATAGGCTAGGGTATATTACAATCACAACAGAATCAATGACAGTAAAATAAAACATAAAATGCCTAAGCTTGCAGGGCTTCAAAATGTCTGACATAGTTATGGTAGCCAGAGACCAGAGTGGTAAATTGGTAATTCAGATGGGTTTTACCAATATCCAAGTATCCAGCATGACTACATATATTTAATTAATATACTTCAAGCCCAATAACAGTGCATGTGAATGATTTGACAAGCCAAAAGACAGTTAAGTATCAGCATCAGAGTACCTACAGCATTGATTGATCATTGATCTCAAAACTGAAACTGCATAAAACTTTAACTGTGCAGCTGAGCTATATTTATTAGGCATCAATCCTCACCTTTGCCCTTTGCATTGATGACATTAACGCTGAACAAAAATGAAGAGTGCAGCGCTGTCAATCTTGATTGTGATGCTCTTCCAGGACACGCAAGCTGAAGATGAAGAAGCAGCCGCTAACCAAAGAGATCGGAATTTTTTTCGTTGATTTCTCACTAAGAAAAATTAAAATGATAATCGTTAGAATATAAATTATGCAATAAGGATACAAACGGCGATTAAATCCAGAGTTTTCCTCAGATCCCAACTCTTGCAATTGAATTGCAACCAAAACCACTGCATCCCACTGGGGGCATTTCCCACTTTTGAATCACCAGCGTCATTGCTGTATGCAAGCATTTGTCCCAGGAACATTTTATTTTAATGTTTCTCATGCAGGAAGAGTCGATGAAAAATTATGTTAAAAAATACAAAACTTATTTTGTGAACATATTTTTTGTGTCAAAGCGAAAATGAAAATAATTAAATCACTCAAAAAAAAACAAAAATATATTTTTCAGAGTCTTTGAAGAAAATCAGCTGTTATATCGACATAAAATGCGCAGGGTTGACGAAAATAGTTGAAAATTTTCGTATGCTTTCCGTGCCTGCCGAAAAGAAGTGCATTGTTTTGATTTTAATTTATATAACCATATTGCAGTCTATTCCATTATTTCAACTCAAATAGCTGAAAATGCTGACATCCGCTCTTCGAGCATTGATGGGAAATGTAAGTAAATCGATTTGTGATCTTTAAATGCCGAACAATGTTATTATATATTTTTGTGGAATATAAATTAAAATATGCATAAGTTTGTCAGTGCAATTTTGCTACATATTTGTTGTAATATTACCATCCATGTGTATCAGTCCCAAGCATTGAAATACGTCTTGGTGCCAGTGCGCATACCTATATAACGTGTAGATTATCATACGTTGGGTTTGTCGGATCAAAAATGACTATCCGTCTCAGCGTTTTTATATTGGGTTCCATGTTATATAGCACAGAGAAGTAGATTCAGACTGTGTAAAATGTTGGCTTGACTATAGTCTGGCAAACCTGATATATACCAGCCTTCTTGTTCACTTGATATTAGTTGAAAATCCACCATTACAGCTAGGCACATAAATTCTTGAGGGATTCATCCAGCTTTACTATCTGAATTATTTTGCAAGACTTGAATTTTCCTTGCTTACCGTTCTCAGTGGATCAACCCAGTCTGAACCCTCCATACAGGTAACTGACTTAATTTCTGTGATGAATTAGAATAAGCAATGAAAACAAAGCAATTTCAAGAGTTAAGTGTGGCAGAGGACTTGTTACATAACACTTCCATGTTCACAAGCACTGTCCACCAAGTGACAGTAAAGGCGGCCGCACACTGGACCATTCGGCGGGCGAGATTCCGCAAAAGCGGAATGTCGTGGGCGACATTCCTACAGCGGCTTTCCGCTTGTTTTCAGCAGTTTACAGGACCATTCGGCGGTGCGATTTTCTAATTAGTATTTTCAGGAACTTTATGTGAAACATTTTATGATAAATATAAACGAATGCAAACTAAATACATTTAAGCAAATACAATATTTGCTTATTTAATGCGATTATGCTATATTTCTGTACAATAAAGTTTTGAATATCTATTAATTTGACATAATTTCTGGAAGGAAGTTACAAAAAAATAAAGCTCGTGATTAATGTAAACAACCGTGTTTGTCGACAAATGCAAGAAACCTAAAGACAATTGTGGAGAGGCACATAGTAACCCATTATTGGAATAACCAATGAAGTGTATAAAAACCATTTAATATGGGGAAAGAAGTGCCGCTACGATTTTTTATCAAGTGAAGTCTATTTCTCGGCTGCTCCATCAATAGTTGGTGAGTTTCAAGTTCCACAATTTCGGGTGTCCGCGGCGTCGCCGCGGAAAAAGCTGAACCGGTCCAGCTTTTTCCGCAACTCCGCGGCTGTTCACGCGCATGCGCACTCTACCCGCGGACAGCTAGCTGGCAGCGGTCGGCTGATAATTTTGTCGTTTCGGCAGCTGATTCGGCGTCCACGAAAGCGTAATGTCGCCACGGAATTGCGTTTTTGCGGAATGTCGCCCGCCGAATGGCCCAGTGTGCGGCCGCCTTAACTGACTAAATATTGCATTCTGGTCAGTGCAGGAACATGGTGTTGAAGGGAACCTTGGCCATTTTTGATAGCTTAGAGAGCTGTATCATCAATATACATATCTATTAAATATTATACATCTATATTAACCCGCGCCCTGCTGGGGGGGGGGGGTGTTTGAACACCCCCCTTGTGGTATTTCGCGAATATCTCAAAAACGGCGGCGCGGAGCGCCGCCGTTTTTGGTACACCTTATCATACATCAATTCTACACATGTTGTGAAAATTTCAAACCAAGGTCATTCAAGGTCAGGTCACCAGGTCACTTGAAGTGACCTCACCTCATAAAAAGTTTCCATGTCTGTCATAGCTACACCGAGTGACCGATCGCTTTGAAACTTTCAGCGATTGCTAAGAGCAATAGCATGTACAAAATGTATATCTCAGAATTTTGACATCGATGACCTAAGGTCAGGTCAATTTTGCGACCTCCCCATTATAAGTCAATGGGAGAAAATTGAAATGCGCTTCTTTTGGACGAAAGACATTATAAACGCTCCCAAACACTGAATTACAAGTGGTTTAGACACACTGAACATGAAAATGGTGTCCGTGACCCCTGTTTATGCCCTGAGGTCATCTTAGGTCACGAATGGTATCTAACAGTTTTTCGCAAATAACTTTTGATAGAGGCATGCTAGAGCGATGAAAACGCCTTAGATGTGTTCAGCTCGACGATACGGATCGACTGATATGCAACATGACCCTTTCCGGTCAGGTCATGACCTTGACCTGAGGTCAAATTTTCAAGTTGACCTTTCAAGGTCAAGTTATAGTTCATTCGATGCGTCTTGACGAGAGGAACACGATGCCGGTAAAAGTAAGCTCGTACAAGGCTTGGATCAAAAGTTATTGCAGAAAAACTGTTTCCGAAAAAATCGGCTATTTTTGCAGTTTTTGCCCCCTGCAGGCAAAACCGTTGACGTTAGGTCAAATCTGAGAAAATTACTCAGAAAGGGCGCTAATAGGGCTATCGAATGCGCTTTTCCGCGGCGCTGTAGCTCTATTGGTTCCCGAGTTATGCGTTGGCTTCTTGGAAATTGTCGACATTCGACCTGGAAATCGGCGAAATTTTGCCTTCAATGACCTCTGGTGACCTGACCTTTGACCTGACCAAAAAATTGACCGAAGTGATTTCCTCATTATTTTTGACGCTCTTTCGAACGCCGCCTTCCGCGTATCGCTACGTGGCCCAGGAGCCGAGTTAGAAGGGGGGGGGGGTGTTCAAACACCCCCCCCAGCAGGGCGTGGAAATCCAGGACCCCCAGCCGGGCGCGGGTTAAAGCATTAAGAATGAAAAGGCTGTTGATATTATTATTCCTATTGGCCATTGCATGTATTTAATTTACAAAGTTTTTTCGTGGAGTTGCTGAACTTAAATTTAACTGAATGAAAACGAAAAAGTAAGAACCCTTAACAATTTGGTATATGAACATGAAAAACAGAAAAATATTCATCTGATATGCAAAACTCTACTAATGCCTTTCCATCTTTTCTTCTATGAAATAGCTTTCATTGAAGAACTTCATCATTTGGCTATTACAATAAGCTGATGGCAACAAATGAAGCTCTTACATAATCACAACACTGTACCTTATATCCTTTAGTTTACTACTATATTTTTCTGCACAAACCCTGGTTCTTTTATAATTCATTTGTTTGAAAGTTCCTCTTATGGGTGGCATATTCAAGTCCTAACACACTTTATCACATGAGGCTTGATTTTAGTTGACCTTGCAATAGAACACATTGCTTCTCTAAGGATCATCAATAAATGTAGCTTGTGTTGCATGTTGATGTTAGTGCAGTGCTCATATGAAAATTGGTCCAAAGCTATCCATGATATGTGTTATATATATTGGCTGTGATTTTAATTAGAAACACTGTCTCTAATGTTGCTGGTTTTCAATTTTCATTAATGTTTCTTTTGAAATAATTTCTGATTATTTAAATAGAGTTCTTGGATGAACTACTCAACGCCAAAACAAACACTGCAGCTATTGTTTAGGTCAGTTTGTACTAATTATCATGCCATGATACACGAGGACAGTTATACCAGTCTTACCAGTTATACCAGGAGAGTTATACCAGTTTTGTGTGTTTGCTGCCGGCAGGCGCGGGGCAGCATCCGGCAGCTGCACCGGTCAGCGCCGGCGGCCAGCGACCAGCTTTTCGTGCACCGCGACTCGGACGCCAACAACCCCGACACGCCGTTTGAGTTCACAGCCGATAACCTCAAGGTAAGCAGCGAGTGTGCAGATGATGCCTTCAGGGTGGCCGTGAGGCTCATAGGCACGCGGAAGTTAACCGTACTTGTATTTATTTCGGTAGAACTGGGTAGAACGTCAAAACACACAAAGGCCACTGGCCAACATGTGCGGATTCATAACATATCCGGTTCATCGTACCATTCTGAAGTCAGCTGTTTTAAATAAAAGTATTTGCCATGTCGATGGTTTTGTCGGTCATGACTTTTTCCGATAAGTCTGAAATTTCAGGTTCACGACACAAACTTGCGAATATGTATCCACGTCGTCATACAAGACTTATCCGATCACCAACTCTGTTCGGTTTGTACCCTGACAAACTGTCTTTTCCCTAACCGCACGCTTTTTTACAACAATTCCGATTCGATGACGGAAATAGGTCGGTGGTGCTGTCTCAAAGAAGCTGTTTCCGATTCTGGCGAACTTGATGTTTGATCGAACTTACCCTTCAAGAAACTTACTCCGCCTCTCTTGCCTAGGAAGTCGGCATCGTTCCCTGGATTCTGCTCTGTCGCTGCTTCCAGCTGAAAAAAAAACACTAATGCTGCTAAGCTGTTTTGCACGCGCCCACCATCTCTGCTCTAATTATGCGATCTAACGAAACTCACTCCATAGTCCATACCCTCGGTCCAGTCGCTGTCACCCAATCCCAGGGGTGTCATGTGACTCTGGCAGAGGCGCCTACGTTGTTTATCGTCGTTAGAAGCAGGGCTGCGGAGTCGATGGATTTTCGGCGACTCCGACTCCGACTCCGGCTTTCAAAAACCAGCTCCGACTCCGACTCCGACTCCGGGCAGAATTGTCGACTCCGACCGACTCCAACTCCCGACTCCGACTCCGCAGACCTAGCAGGGCTGTGGAGTCGACAGATTTTCGGTGACTCCGACTCCGACTCCGGCTCGGGTTTCTAAAATCGACTCCGACTCCGACTCCGACTCCGGTCACAACTGTCGACTCCGACCGACTCCGACTCCGACTTCGACTCCGCAGCCCTGGTTAGAAGAACTCTCAGCCATGACGAATTGCTCAGTCGAAGGCGGAGACATGGGAGTATAATGCTCCTACTATAAGCACGGTTTTTGAACATACTGTTAATGACAGTTAGTGAATAGAAGTGAACGCTGAACACCGAACGATCAATTATGGTGTATTCCTTCCCTCAGTCCTGGCTGGGGCCGCCAGTGGTCTCAATACTTCTTGGAGGACATAGACACCCGATCATCGTTTTCCACTGGTTAATGCCGCCGAACCACCAACTAATGCCGACCTCAGTACAAATGGCCGAACTTCTCATCAGTAAATGGCGCCCCAGCGTCTGAGTCGCGGCCGTAGGAGACATATCAGCGGGCTTACGGCAATCGACAGCGGCCCCTTTGTCCGCTGAGCCATTGTCATGTCTCAAATGGAGCCGCCAGCCGGACCCCGGGGGAGATTTCTGAGCCGTTGTCCAGTGATAAAATTCGTAGAGACGAATTGCTGTTTGTCTGGGGGTCGTTTGGGTCGGCGCCCAGACAGGGCCGTTTTCAGAGGAGTTGTGCTGCCGTCCGGGACGGAATATATGACCCGGCACAGACAGCACATACCCATCGATTACTTTGTTTGTCGTCAGAGGCCTGAGTTTCAGGGCTGCACAGCGAGAGCAGAATTTGTGAGAAGTTTTAGGAAGTCACTGTTGTGATTCTGTTGGATGTCGAACTCCACGCTTGCTTCTATCGAGCAGTTCAGACTCTTTCTGTGTTCTGCGACGAAGCTAACTGGCCATGATGCTGGTGGGCATGTCATGTATGATTGCCGAATTAATACTTTATTTGGGAACTTCGGAAAGGGTGAACGATATCGATTGAAGATTTAGTTTAGTTTAGCTTATTTAATTCATCGTCGACGGGGACACCCCATTTAAAGACGAAGTCATACCTATAATAATACAATACAACACAATGACAAAATCGTTAAAATCACGAAGAGCAGCTGCACATTTAGCGGCTTCTCACATAGTCAACGACACATCTCCTGAATGTGCTAAAACCATCGAAAAACATATCAGATGTCGGCGAGGCTCTAAAATATTCATTGATCAGACGTGGTGCCCTCGTAAACAGACCATCTCTGACTGTACACACACGTGCATATGGTACTTGAAATAGCGATAGTTGGCGACCTAACCTAACAGGTACAGATATACAAAAACTCCGTAAAATAAAAGCCGAATCGATCCTCCCTTTAAAAACATTGCGGATGAATAAAATGTCATGCTGCACCCTTCGAGAAGACAGTGCACTCATCCGAAAGTGCCGAAGCAGGGCAGTGTAGTCCAAACTTTGAGAGGCTATGGCCGGGGGAGAGCATCGGTTCAGCCAGATCAAAAATTTGTGTTGAACTCTCTCGAGTCTGTCTGTGTTTGTTTTTGATGCCCCCGACCAAACAACACTACCGTACTCGAGAATTGATCGAACATGTGCGTAGTACGCGACCCGTATGGACGATACATTAATTTGACGGCCAGTTTTAGGCTTTTGAAAAGTCCGAATCAGAAGCCCAAGTGCCCGGTTCGCTTTCTTGACGGTGCTTTCAATGTGGGAGGAAAAGGTAAGTTTTTGATCCAGGATGACACCGAGGTCCCTGATGGTGTCCACATGCTCGAGGGCAGTGTTTCCAATGAAATAGCTTCTTAAAATGGGGGACTTTTCGAAAAGACTTACATTTACTTGGGTTGAGTTTAAGTTTCCAAAGCTGGGACCATTTGCACAGCCTTTCTTTCCAGATCCTCCTGCAGGAGGTCTGCATCGGCTGTGCTGTGAATTTTCCTATAAATTTTGACGTCGTCTGCGAACATGAGACACGGAGATCTGATTTGGTCCGGAAGATCGTTAATAAATATAGCGAATAGCAGTGGGGATAACAGTCCGCCCTCCGGTGTCCCGGAAGATGACAATGTTCATCCTTTCCACGACTTGGATCTTGTCTTTTCCGCCAATCTATGGACATAAGGTCAGCAGTTTGGTGTCGCTTGAATCTGGCCCCGCTGCCGCTGTTTCTGGCTACTGGGGCCCTCTGCTGTATAATTGTCTCACGCCGACTGTTGCTCACTGCTTATCATTTTTTTTACGCATGAATATTAGATATGCAAGGATACTGATTGTCGATTGAAGTTTGAACCGTGATTATTTAGATTCTGGATTGAACAATGATTATCCCACTTTGTTATGACCATTTTTGGGTTTTACTTTATGACACTTCTTTATTAGGTATCGCTTACCACCTTACAAGCCTCATACTCAGAACAAATGACGTCCGTTTTTACCCTGCGTGTTCCCGGTTTGTAACCCGACGTATTTCAACGTCAGCCTGGCCGTCCGCTGGTTTGTGGAATCGGTGTATCTACTGAGCGGTGGCCGACCGGCTGTCTAACACGGCTCTGCCGGCTGTCGGACACGGCTTTCCCGTGTTGTACCGACGTCTGGAGCCGTAACAGACGGCTGTAACTGTCGAGCAGCAGCGGCTGTCTGCCGGCCGGACCGCGACTGCCGGGGCTGGCCACGCACCGGTGGACGCTGGGAGGAAAGAATGCAAATACCGAGAAGCTAAGATGGATTCAACCTAATTTATCACTACCATATTCCTTATATCTTGAATAATTATTATGTCTCATTAGGATTACTAGGATTTTTTATGTCATAATCTTCGCTCAAATGCATCTAACTATGCCTGCTATTTCACAAAGGCAGGTTAGCTTTGCGCACTATGCGCCAGTTTGGTTTGTCGAAATGAAACAGCTCAATTAAGCCCTCTCATTTTTCAACCTCATCAGCAAAATCATTTGAAGGCCTGTAGTTTTTAGTAAAGTGTCTGTAGGTAGCTTGTGAGCGATGGGCTGATGGTGTGTCGATATGAAGCCATCCTCAGTCGGTGGTCGAAGAATCGTGCCGCCCTCGTGTGTCCCCCTACTTTCTGTCGCGTGTCGCGGCCCGTAACGATCTGACAGCACGCCGGTCGGCGCTGACCGCAACAGGCGGGCGGGACGTGGAACTTATATGGTCTTGGGGCGTGGGTGGGTCGCGTGCCCTGCGCCCTACCCCGCCGGGTGGTTGATGTTTTATATTTCATCGTGCTGCTGTGTTGCCTTCTGCTGCCGAAATCACGGTCAAAGGTCAATAACTTCAGGAACTCTTAAGGATTACCTGTGGCTAACTCCTGAGGGTTATTTTATCAATCACCAGTGATCCCCTCCGCTCATTTGTCTTAAAGGTAGTGTGCCACCTTCGAATGATTTCCCATTTTATTTTTCCTAGGATAAGAAGCGTCTGTTTTTATCTAATATCGCAAAAAATCAAAAATGGGCCTAAAATAGTGCCTTTTTCGCCTAAAAGTTTATCGGTTTTTCGATATGTATAACAACTGTAGTGGGCTGACCTGCAAACAGGCGTCGGCAACCAGTGTCCCAAAATATGTCGATTTGGGTGGGAAACGACATCCAAATGAAAATCATTTTCCACTTTCACCTCCAGTTTTCAAGCCAAATTTTTCACTCCCAATTCCACCGAGAAAGAACAATTGCGTGAATGGTTGTTTTGCATAGTCTGTCACAATTGTAGATAGATTAATGTTTTTCTTCATTTTCTTTCCCACTCTTTTTGGGCCTTACCTGACCGACGATTTTTCACTCTGATCCTTTCTTTGGTCAAACATTTTCCCCTCTGACACCCAAGCAAAAATAAAATTTTGGGACACTGTCGGCAACAATCACGAATGCGGCGCACATGTGACAATAAGCAAAGGTCATTATAGAGTTACGACGTACGGGAATGAGTTATCAGCTGTCTAATCGTAAACAACACAATGTCGAATTTAAACTGTAAGCCTGTATTGGTATTGTTTCTTTAATTTGGCTGTCAAACATTAATTTATGGTTTGAAATATTATTTTATGTAAAATAATTGATATGAAACAGCCGTCTCTAAAGTTATGGCCCCATCTCACCACATGAAAGTGGCAGAAATGACAATCAGCTGACGCATTTTTCTTGGCCGAAGTTAGAGCGCGCGGCCCGACGCACCACCACCGCACCACAAAGTATGGGCAGAAGCCGCGCCCAAAGCCAGGGGCGGTAACGTGAGGTAGCCGAGTCGGGGCAGCGTGCGCTGACCCAAGCCGGGGCCGCGGCTTTGGGCGCGGTCTACCGCATCCCCGCGGGCAGCCCCGGGCTATCACATGACACCGGGAGGACGCGCGGCCCCGGCTTGGGTCAGCGCACGCTGCCCCGACTCGGCTACCTCACGTTACCGGGGCCCTGGCTTTGGGCGCGGTCTACCGCACCACCTAACAGGCGTGTTCGAAACCGCAGGAGATGATGATGAACGGGTTTATCGAAACTTGATTGGATGAGCCTATCGGTAATAGCGATTTCAGTGTGTGCATTTATTGTTCATAGTGGTGTGAAATGTGGTTGGGGTACGACCGACAACCCGTCGGGGCGAATTTCGCACTGGGGTACTCAAAATTTGAAGAATTTAAGACGTTTCCATGAGTTTTGAAGGTATGGATAAGTTCTAAAAATCCGGTTCTCCTTATCTGGGCCATTAACTCCATACGGTCCAGGAAAGCTGGCACACTACCTTTAAGTCTCCAGTCAACCTGGATTGATCAAACCATAGACCTCTGTGTCTTTATATCATATGCAGAGGTCATGGTCAAATGTTTTAGAAGCGCTGAGCAGCAGAAGAGCAGGATTATATGCACTTTCTTCGGGGCCGCTCCTGATAAGGTGGCCTGTGACTGCAGCGCTTTTCTCTGTGCCGTGTGCCCTCTCGCTGTGTGCGTTGGTTCACTGCCGCTGGAGGAAGTCGTGCCTCGCTCTCTGACTCGTGTCTCCCACTGCCCCGTCTTCTTGCAGCGGGCCGATGCCATCATCTCCATCTACCCTGAGGGCCACCAGCGGGCGGCCGTGATCCCCCTGCTGGACCTGGCACAGCGGCAGCACGGCTGGCTGCCCATCTCAGCCATGCACGCCGTCGCCAAGATGCTCGACATGCCCAACATGCGGGTGTACGAGGTGGCTACCTTCTACACCATGTTCAACAGGTGAGTGGTACTGGTGACGAGACACCAATATTTACGTGGGGTGTCACAGCGGCTGGGCTCTGTCGCTTTACGTTCTATCATATTGGATTTTCCATTAGTCTGCCGTGTTTCCACCGGTTTCGTCTTGTGTTAGTCGTCAACATACGCATCCCCAGCGCTAGTCGCTTGCCGTTCGATCAGCTCTCGTCTTTTCAGGTTACCAGTCTCAGCCCTCGACGTTACGCCTTCCCCAGTACGGCCACGAGTCGTAATGTGTCGTTAGCCCTTCCTATAGATCGTACTGTTTCGGGCCCAACTCCTTTCCTAGTTGTATTGTGTCGATAGGAAGCCATCGTGATACCTTTACTGACCGGTGTGTTCAGAATTACCTAGCGCCGATAGCCCCACGATAATTCTGGATATAAATGTTCGGGAGTCGAACCTTTTGGCTATTGGCCTGGCTTATGTTGGGGAAGGGACTTATATATGCGCCAGATTGCCTACCATTTGTCATATTGATGTATGATCGCCACACAATGACTAGTGGATCGATAGCATTTACTGAGCAATGAATGATGACCCTATCCATTGCTGCAATTGGTATACTTCAAGTCGTTTTGTATTCGCGTAATTCGTGCTTATTTTTACCTTATATTGCATTATTCTGAATCACAAAAGGAATGTAAAGGTGCGCACGAAGTGGTTCTAAATCTCGTATGTATACTGTGACCCATGTGACCTCTGTAGGCACCATGTGAGCCATGTATTACCACATCACGTCATGCAGCATTACCCGTTTTAACTATACTGTGACCTATATGACTACACGGGAACTCACCGGGCAAGTATCACGTTCAGTCATGCGGCACCCTTTTCAAGCTATATCCCTGATAACCTCCCTCTGGCCTTGCAGGAACCCGGTGGGCAAGTTCCACGTTCAGCTGTGCGGCACCACCCCGTGCTGGCTCTGTGGCTCCGATGATATCATGGCCGCTATCCAGAAGAAGCTCGGTAAGTAACCGCCATCGCTGTCGGCATCGGCTCGAAATCCGCTGTCGTCAGTTCAGATAGTTGAAAATCCTTCCGTGGGATTGTAAGACAGCTGAAAATCCCTTTCGCGCGTGAAACAGTGGGAGGTTCCTACTGCACAGTGCGAAACAATTGAAATCCCTCCTGTCGGTGGAGACGAATTGACCTTTATTCTGCTATGACATGTTTGATACTGCGAACTGCCATGGGGATGGAAGCCCAGCATCATCCCCTCGGCGATCGGCGCCTGTGAATCTAGAGGACCCGTTTCATTGATCACCTCAAGGGGTCTGCCTTGCTCTCGCTTTTGCGCATATTTACAATCATAGGAAATCTATTGTTTTCTAAAAGGCGTAAGTACTTGACAACGTTTAGAACACCGCGCCACAGCCTTCAGCGCCAGTATTCAAATGTTGGTGAGCTGAACTTAAGTCACTTAGGGTCAGCATGTTTCTAAAAATGTAAGGAGTAGTAATTAAAAACTGTAAAACTATTGACTACAAGACATAGACATAGACATTTATTTCGCTCAAGATCCGACAATTTCGGGTTTTCACTTGCGCACGTCCGGTTGGTAAAATTGCACTAAAAATAGGATAACACATGTACCACACACCAATATCCATCCACATAAAATTGGAGACACATGCATACACGCAGCTCAACTCTTTAGTCCGGTTCACGCCGTACAAATCGGTAGAGTGCTTTCCTGAATGAGTCGTGATCTCTTCTGCCCTGGCACACATCATTGTACATTTGTACGCCACTATACGCAAGCTGGCGCCTACCAGTCTCTGTTCGAATGGCTGGTAGTCTCAGCCGATTGTTCTGTCGTGTCTGGTGGTCGTGTCCGTGTTGGCGGTCTGCGTCCGTGATAATATCGTGTAATGCCTGGGGAAGCTCTGATGCCAGCACTTTGCTGACCATCTGGACGCGGTGGTATTGAGCAAGTTGAGATGCTGTTAGCCATTTGAGGTCTTTGAGCACTCCAGAAATATGTTCAAACTTTTTCTTTCCGCTGACCACTCTCGCTCCAAAATGTATGATTTTCTGTATGCGATGGAGTTCTGTTTTTGTGCACGTGCTATAGATGGACAAACAGTATCTAACGGCAGACATAACCAGAGCGCTGACCAGTGGCTTGAGCGAGGTTTTTGGAAGGCTATGCTTTGCATGCGTCAGCGCAACCAGAATGCCACTGCATTTTCCTACCACGTGGTCTACATGATCTACGTATGTCAGGTGCCTATCCATATAGAGTCCTAAATTCTTAACTACGCGGGATTCCTCGATGGCTGTGCCGCAGAAGTTTACCGATATCTTCGGCTGGTTTTTCAGCATCGCCCTCGTTCCGAAAAGTATCATTTGCGTTTTCGCGGCATTGACCTTCAGCCGGTTTTCATTGAGCCAATTTGCGAGTTGATCGAGAGCGCGTTCGAGAGTTGTGATCATCGCGTTAAGATGTTTCTTTGGTCCGGTTATAAGAAGTTGGGTATCGTCTGCGAACTGAATAACTTCTACATCATCAACGTAAAGCCCAATATCATTCACATAGATGGCGTATAGAATACAACTAAGAGAACCGCCCTGGTATACAGATACACCGCTGTCATTGGGTAAAGTGTCGGACATGATCGGCTCTCCCTCACCCGCACTGACTTTGACCTGTTGAGAGTGGCCGGCCAAGTAGCTCGCGAACCAAGTCACATCGATGCCATACAGTGCTAGCTTCGTGAGTAATCGCTGGTGGTCTACGCTGTCAAAACATTTAGACAGGTCGAGCAACACTAAAATGCTAACACTGCCTCCGTCCATCGCTCGATAAATGCGCTCAGTCACTACAGCTAAAGCGGTCTCTGTAGAGTGCGACGCCCTGTAGCCATGCTGATGGTGTGTGAACAGACCGTTGTCTCTGAAGTATTGAGCCAGCTGTTGCTGCACGACGCGCTCAATCACTTTCATTGGAGCTGGCAGTACAGACACAGGGCGATACTGAGACGGCTGCGACGGTTTGGGTGTTTTGGGTAATGGTGTGATGACTGCATGTTTCCATGCCGTTGGTATTTCGCCACTAGACAGACTAGAGTTGATAATATTGAGCAAGACAGGCCCGATACCATAAAAGAATTTCTGCATCATTTGCACACTTATACCCTGAAGACCCGTGGCTGTCGATGGTTTCATGCTGTGCACGACAGTCATCAGCGTATCAATGTCCACAGTATCCACCTTAAACTGACAGGTATGGACCCGTGGCAGTCTCACCGGCTGGGTGCGAGACGGTACTGGCACGCTATTGGCAGTCTCTCGCCCCATCTGAGAGAAGAATGCATTTAGTGTGTTTGGTGTGACGTGCGGTACATCACAAGCTCCCTTTTTGTCGCCTATAATCGGCTTCAACACACGCCACATTTTTGCAGGACCTGCTTTCTTGCACTCATTCTCTAGATAGGAGGCCTCGTCTGACCTGATTGCGGCTCGGCACTGGCGGTTGAGAGCCTTGTACCGCTCGCGTCCGGCGGCCGATGTATCTGCGAGCGCACGGCGCCGGCTGGTCATCAGGTCACGGGTAGCCGCGGTCACAGGTAGCGCCCCCTGTGGTCTCACCCGCACTCGCCGTATCGGTGCTACCGTGTCCAAGGCTCGGGTAAACACGGCCACAAATGACTCCCACGCCGCCTCAGTGCTGCCACTCAGCCACACCCCGTTCCAGTCAATGCGCGACAAGTAGACATTGAACTCGGTTGAGTCAACGCTGCCCAGGCAACGCTTTCGGATAGAGACACTTCTGTGAGCGCGGCTCTTGCAGTTTTGTCGTATCATTATCCTAGTGTAGTCGTGCGGGCCTCCTAAATGGCACCGAGTAACACCGGATCTCACAACGTTTCCGCTCTGGCCAGTTGCGATAACGTCAATCAATGAGGCAGCTGGTCGGTATGTTGGCCTTTTCAAATTGACAGGCACTAGGCCGTTCAAGCGCAACACTTCCATTAGTCTGACGCCCGGTGATTTGTTCTTCAGTAGACACGCGTTAAAGTCACCTGACAGTATCACATGCTTGCGTGGGTGAGCTGTCATCATGTAGTTTAACTGGGCGTTCAGGTCATCTAGGTCTGCAGTTACTTGATGTACCGTGTTGGTGGGGTGTCTGTAAGCTGATGCGAACAGGATCTGCCGACCATTTCCCGACTGTATCTGCGCCCAGATTATCTCCAAATTCGACTGTTCTTGATTTTCTGTCACTGGTGTGGGCAATACCACAACCTTGAGTGTTTCTTGCGCCAAAATTGCTACACCGCCGTGGCCTGCCGCTAACTTGCTCTGTTTAGGGCGGTCGGCGCGGTAGAGCTGATAGCCCGGGACATTCAGCAGTCGGCTCGGGGTGTTGGTGGAAAGCCAAGTTTCACATAGCCCGAGTATGTGAAAACCGTATACATCTTTGATCACCGCACGCAGATCCGGTAGTTTGGGCTTTAACGATTGGATGTTGAGCTGTCCGATTATCAGCGCCCGCCGGTCCGTGTCGCCGTGTCTCGCCCAGTTAACACCGCCGCGGCGGCCCCGGTAGCGGGTCCGGGTTCGGCGTCCTCCGGTATCGCCTGAGGCTAGCGCCGGTCGGGTGAGAGGGCAGTCAGGGACCTGTCCAGGGTCGGCACCTGTCGGACCTCGCCCTGGTGTGCTCCCTGTCCGCGGTCCTCTACCCGCCTCCCCGCCTCTGCAGTCCGCGGCGTCGGGCCGGCGGCGGCGCGCTCTCGGCTGGCCGGTAGCTGGTGTGGCAGCAGCTATCAGTGTCGCCATGGCGTAGGCAAACAGCAGTGAACGGAGGAGCTCGTGACGCATTGTGATTGTGAGGAGTTCCCACAGCTACTGGTCAGTTCGAGTCTTGTCACTGGTCGGTGACCCAGCCAACTTTGTGAGTATCGGGTTCTGTTCACAAACAGCTATAAACCCTGTAAAATTTGCTTAAATTTGGTGAATGAGAATGCGCATAGCCTTTCCCTCGCAACCCGCCGAATATATCAGAATGGATAAGCGGACCAATCTCCTGAGGCTGCCGTTTTGTCTTCATGACGTGGCTGCGTTCTATCTTCATTGGAGCCCGGTGAGGCATCTGTTAAACCGTTATCCTTGGCCCGCCTCCATGTAAAGAGGGTATATTTCATGCAGCTTGAGAGCGCCCGCTTTGCGCCTGGCCTGTATCCCTTTTGGGATTCTGCGCTCTTCTCTTATCACGCCAATTTTATTTATATCCCGGAGCTCTATTGTTCCATGTTTTAGGTCATGAGGCCATGTAATATATTTCCGTGTCTCTATTTTCTCCTAAGCTATTGTGCCACCCGGGTCCCGGGGCTTGTGTTATATCGTTTTTGTTCTCCCAGGATGCCAGCAGCATATTGCAGCTCTGTGCTTTCATTACGACGCAATTGCGGTGGTGCGGTGCTATTATTTCCCCAGCTTCTGTTGGCGTCTGCCATTGGGGAGAGCGGAGAAGTGGGAAAGACGCGGGGTGGAGATTCTTGGAAGGGGGGGGGGGTCTGTGGGGAGGCGGATGGGAAGAGAGTGTCCGCTGTGGGCTCACCGTCGCCACTTTCCATCGCTCTCACCCGGAGTCCAACACGGGAAGGCCTCAACTGTCTACGATTAACGCCACTAGAACACAGTTCCACCGTTACCTTGCTGTCCCTTGCAACGACAAAACTACGGGTGAATTGTGTAGTTGAATTAACCTTACAAAAGTAGCATTGAGCTAACTACCTGCCAGTTATAATACTCGTATATCCCAGTGGGTATGACAGTTGTGTTGCGCTGTGGCTCGCCCTATGAGATCACTCGCCATTCAACACTCCTGGTAAGGACGATTAAGATTACCCTCCCACCCGATAGCACTGCCTGTGAATCAGGAGCTCTACCATCGGCACCCGTAAAACCCATATACCTGACCTACCCGACTAGCTCCGTCCTGCGGCCGCTGGGTTCAATAG